TGTCTCTTTCTCAATTTCCATTCTCTTCTTGTGCTATAATGATATACTACCCTGATAGTTGTTCCAGAATGAGCATTTATGAGGTTGCAGCGTGAGTGCCATCATACACCTAATCCAACCAACTAAAAAAAAAAGTTGAAAAAAATTCTAAAAAATCTTAAATTACATCAGTTCCAGGCTTGTAATGTGGCCCCACAGGTGGTTGTGCTAAGAAGCTAGGGGCACGCTGTACTGATTGTGCACAATTATACTATATTTGGTATTGCTGCAATATACCTTATCTTATGAAACCAAAATCTTACTAAAATAAGACTCGAGATGATATTTCAAACAGTATTCCTGCATATTAGAGAAAGGCTACTTGAAACCTCAAAACCCAGGCTTATACTGCATCGTTTTACTTAGACAAAATACATTAATATATTTAATGGAAAAATTGGCATGGGAAGACAGTTTTCAGGGCCCTGGTGTTGGCCCAAATGTATTTTTCTTAAAAAAAAAAAAAAATTAAAAAAAAAAATCATATTATTTTGTTGAATTTCAGGTTCACAGAACAATGACACTAAAAGACAGTTTCTTCTAGAACGGCTACTGGATGCAGTTAAGCAGGTGAGAAGTCTGATATCTATACATACTCTGAGTTGTCAGTACTGGCAGGAACTGTCTGCCCTTTTTTTTCCTCTTTACCAGACAAAGAAGAAATCTTGTCTTTCACACAGTACTACTGAGTATTTTTGTCTGCTAGCAAATGTGACTGTTATGCACCATTTGTTTAAAATTCTTGTTCTTGACAGATTATGTTTGTAATACTTATATGTATTATAAAAGTATATAATAATACAGAATATATGTTATACATATGTATATTTGTAATACTTGTATGACTGAACTAAGCTGTAGTGTACTGCAAAGGCTAAATTTTTTTTTTTTTTACAGTAGCAGCTTTTTTTCTTTACGCTAGGATTTTAGTGAATGGTTAAAATACAGGTAAAGATGGGGTTTATTAAAGTATATATCTTTCATCAACATGAAGTTCAGCAAGTAGAATTTCATAGATTGGATTCAATTTAGTAGAGCTTGGGAGGCAAACGAATGCATCAAAAGTAAGCCAATTATATGTTTTATAAAGAATGATTCTTCCATAATTGTAGCACTGAGCTGTATAGGAGCAGTGTTTGGTTTTATGGGTGTACATTTAAAACTCAAAAGTAGTAATTTTTACTCAGATTTATTGAAGGACCTGTAGGTGTGTTGTTCTGGTTAGCAAGAATATATTTGAACTAGAGAGTAGGGCGTTAGTGGAACATGATGCTGTAAAGCATTTTTTTTGGTTGCAGGCTATATTTGCTAATGGTTTATTTTGTACTGCTTCCTTTTTTGTTATGACTTTGTTTCTTATATGGAAATATTTCAGAATATTGAGTTTGTTAGTGTAACAAATTTATTAAAATCTGTTTATTGCAGTGTCAAATACGATTTGGGGGAAGAAAAGAAATTGCTTCAGACTCTGATAGCAGGTAAAATAGTCTAAGAAACTTTCAACGTGCTTAGATTACGTATCATAATGACATCAAATGTATGGTACAAAATCTGTGACACGCTCAAAAAAACCCCAGTTCCTTGTGTTTACACAAACACTGAGGTAGGACTGAACTTTTCATCTTGTTACAAATTTGACAGCTTAACGAGGAGTGGTGTTCTGTATGAAGTTACAAGTGTTTAAGTGCCTGCAGAGTTCATGACAAAGCGTTAAATTCTGAAATCTGAACATGAGACTGGGAGAATTTATCTTCTCTAAAATTTCTTTTAAAATGAATGCATATTTATTGCCAGTATACTTGTGTTTCATGAAGCTTGACACTTCAGTGTCAAGTGTGTTTAACAGTCATTAAGAAAATTTTCATTCTTATTTTTTCTTATTCCTGACATGTTTTAAACCTGTTTTTCTTCTTTTTCTGTGTGAGAAGTTGTTCCTTTTCATTAACATAAGTCAAAAAATGTCACTTAATTCCTATTAGTTGCATTTGTTGTTGGATATGGCATATTGGTTTCTAAGGCTTTTAAGAAGATGACTGGCAGACAGAAATTGCAGTGCTTTTTGTATCCTATTGAGTCTTTCTCAGAATCTGTCCTATCGAAGTATCTCGGATAAATGAACCTCCAGGATTAAATGCAGTTGTTTGTTGTCCTTTTTCTTATTTCTTTGAAATTTGGCTCTGCCTTTTGGAAGAAGTAAATTATCTGTTGGCCATTTACAAATGATGCATAAAATTCTCTCCAATCCCCTCCCAATTCAGTCTTTAAGAACATGTCTAATGGTGTGGTTTCATGACTCCTGGAAAGCCAACATAACAATTCATTGCTACCAAAGGGGAGGGAAGGGTTCATATACCTCCTCAAGGTCCCTGACTTCAGTAGTACTCCCTTCCACCTCCTTTTTAAGCAATGCCTGGTGATCATCCAGTCCCCTCTGAATTCATCTAATAAAAGAAGAAATGCAAAAGGATAACTTTCTGCCATTTTAGTGAGTTAAATCAGTAAAACATCCGGTGAATATTAGAGTTGCTGCAAGGAGGGGAAGATCACGCGGCTAGAAGCAATGGGAAGTGCAGAAGAGGAGGAAGAAGCAACAAGGGATGAGAGGACAAACCCATCTCCTTTCAGGAGTGGCTTGGAATGCAGCTCCTGTGCATTGTCTGTGTGTGAAACACCAGGCTAATGCTGCTCCATGGCAGCTTAAGCCGATCTGACTTCTGCTTACTACTGTCATCCTGTCCTGCCCTTGGCTGTCTCAGCCTACAGTACTTTGGGGAAACAGACTTAGAGAAGTGTTCTACTGAACTAGCATGGTGGAAACAATTCAGTGCAGGGTCTGTTCAGCACAGGGTTTGTTGGACAGAAGCTGGTTTGAGGGAGGAAGCAAGAAGGTGCAGGTGGGATAAAGGGATGGTGGGCCTGAAGCACCTGGCAGTCTTACTGACTGTGCAGCTATAGCTGCTGGCACAGAAACATCAACTGGAGATAGCTATTTAATCTTTACTGTTTAGTATGTGAGACAATGTATTGACAATGTTGCCTTTGTAGTATATTGCGTAAATTCACTAGAAAGAAGTACCTCCTATCCAGAGCAAATTCTCTGGATCTAAAACTTCTGCTTTGTTGCTCAGTTTGCTTGAGCAACTGCTTTGCTGCAGTTGTTTAATAATTTGAATGATGACCTTTAGTATTTGTTTTCCAATAAACAGTGAGAGTTAGGATTCCAGAGATACAATGCTGGCCAAATTTTACTTAAAATACTTTCCTTAGAATTCAGTAGATATGCTGAATAATGGATTATAGCTAGGCAGTTTCAGGATTAAAAAGGAAGTGGATTACATGAATAGGTTTTGGGTTTTTTTTTTTTCTAAATTCCATGGTGTTTAAGTTTGTTACTATGCTAAATATTGTGACATAATTTTGAAAATGAAGATAATCTGAGAATTTGGATCAAAATCCAGTAAAATCCGTGACTCCAAGCTTTGTTCTCCCGGTGTTTTTTTGTCTTTGAGATTATAATTGTTCAGAGTTCTACTATGTCTATGTACAGGAGACTTCTCCATGTTTTTCTGTATTTGTTTATTTAACTTGTGATACACTTGTGATGCTATCTAGTAAATACACTATCTATATTGGGCCTCGTAGAATACCTGATTTTTTATTTTATTTTGTTTTACTAGTGGCTAAATTTTCCTGTAAAATGCTGCAATTTTCTTGCTTTGATTCTCAGTACACATGGATTTTTAATAATATGAGCTCTTTTACAGAACCTAGTTTCTGTTCTGCTTCTTCTTAGTTGAAGAAGTCAAGTAGATTTTTTTTCTTTTTTTTTTTTTTTTTTTTTTTCCCCTGGGGGTCATGTATCTGCTGGAATTTCCATTTTTAACAGCAGCAGTCTTCTTGGCAAAAATTAATCACAACTGCTCCACAATTATCTTGAGTATTTTTTGAATTATATTCTGCTTTATTAGTAGAGTTTTCCTAACAAAGTTAATATACCTCTTTTTCTGTCAGTGCTTCTCCTGAGATCTTGTGCTTTTTTGTGACCCTGAATAGAACTCTCTACTTCTGGAATGCCAGGCCAGAGTCTTGAGCCACTTTGTCAACTGTTTTATTTATTTGCTTGAACTTAGTTAAAGTATCTGCCCTTCCTTTTGGTAATCAGTTTCACAGCCAGGGGACAACTTTCTCAAAGCTTAAGTTTTAGCTATTGTTTATTTAATGGCAAAAATAAATCTTAGAGAAAATAAGATTTCAAATAGACAGATTGCATTCATGTCTGTTAGACCTTAAACCTTTTTATTCCCTGTGGGTTACAATAATATTCCTTTCCTTGACAGGCTGAATTTTAAAACTTGGCTGGTTTTATAATGTTTCTACCTGTGTGAAAATGGATTTATTAACTGGGTTATATTTCAAAAACATAATCAGGAAATTTATAAATAGTATTGTAGAGAACAACATAAAAACTGAAGATTCAACACATCTCCAGAAAAATCTTTCATATTTTCCTATGACTAGGACTTCTGAAGGACATAAAAATGTATGTTTAATTGTTTTGCTGGGCTTGAATTATAGTGTACTAATGCAAATTAGCAAAATTCTTTATTAATTGCATAGGAAGTTATAGCATATTTTCAGAAAATCATTTATTGCCTGTGTAGTACAAAGTATATTTATGAAAATGTAATTGCATTACATGAAAAGTAGGTAATCTGAACCTGAAATAGCATGATTAACAACTACTATAGCAGGTGAGGATGATTTCTGAAACTGATTGTCCATCTGAAAGTAATTTTTGCCCCAGTTTGGATAGTCATGATGAGACTGTGGGTATAAGATTATACTGTTTGCACATATTGAGATTAGTGTATACAAGAGGTCTTTCACTACATGTAAGATAATTTCTTTAAAAATTCTGTTGCAGAGTCACTTGTTTGTGCGCTCAGTTTGAAGCTGTGTTACAGCACGGTCTGAGGAGGAGCCGAGGATTAGCATTAACAGCAGCAGCGATCAAACAAGCAGCAGGTTTCTCCAGTAAAACTGAAACAGGTAATTTGTTAATCATAACTGTTCTATTTTAAACAGTTGATAAGTACAAACAAGTGACACAGTTTCTAAAGGAAATTTTAAGCAATGTACCAAACTGCAGACTGTTGATAGCATGCTTAATGCTTGGACTCTCAGTAAGCAGTGAAAATGGTTATTGATTTCTTAATTTTATTTAACTTTCATTCCACGTTTCTCTAGAAATTTTGATGTTTGGAAAATCTGCACTTCCTGCAGTTTCGTCATGAATAGCATCATGGGCAAATTTCTTTTGAATTTTGGTAGGGATTAAAATTGTGTAATTGTGCTGTTAAGTTTTTACTACAACATTTTCATTCTTAACCTTGTCTTACTCTGTTCTTTAACTGCTATTTTCTATAGCATCAGATATGTTTAACTTAGAAGTATTGATGTCATTTTAAAAGCAAAACTTCGATTACTTATATTGGTTGGATTGTTTTTTATTACTTTCTTGACATTTGAAGAAAAGATATCTTTATTTTTTGTTGCCTTCTCTTCACCTTAAAGTTTCCCTTGTTTTTTTATCAAAAGTATATGAAGGTGTTCATCAGTTTTGTTGTGAGGTTTGACATACAGTATCTTTTTCTGTAAACAGGGTACACATAATATATAGAGGTTTCTTTTTGGCTTTTGAAACTGTCAAGTGTAACATGTAACACATAGTGGGGTGTGGGTTTTTTTTTTTTTAATTTATTCAGTGGTACTAGAATTTGTTAATATATTTTGATGTCCAGCCATATCTTCCAGTTTCACCATACAACTGCATATAATGCATGTTACTTTAGCACAAAATGTGTAGTTTGATACAATGGTGTTTTTAAATTGCTGTAACAATGGACTTGTTTCCTGTGGATGATAGGGTGAAATGTTGGGTCTTGTGTACTGACTTTCCTGCTAATGGGTTAGAGCCTCCAGGCAGCATTTTTGGGAGCTAAAAAAAGCTACGCTTTTAGAGCAGTTGATGAGTTTCCCATGTTTGCCTCTTAGTTAGTAATAGGCAACACTAGACACTTTGCAGAAAGACAAGAAAAATTCAGCTGTTTACACAATTTTTACAGATTATTCAGCTCTCCTGTATGCTTTTGTCTCCCTTGTGTGTGATTGTAATTGGGGATTAGATACTCTGTGGTCTCTATCAGTGTCTGGGCAGTTTCTATCTCTTTAATGGGTATTGATTTGATTATCTGCTTTTTGTCCCCCCAACTCGCAATCGACAGTCTTATGCTTTGGTACAGAGAATGTTCTTCCTGCTATGCTCTCTCTGATTTATGCAAATACCATGCCTTTAATTTTGAAGATACTACGTATAATTCTTACGATTTCTTTTGTCTTTTGTTGTCTCTTGACTTACTGTTAGTAATGTCAAGGGTGTATGAAATTTTTGGTCCTGTCTTTTAGTGGTCAGATGTACAAAGGTGCATCTCTGATACTTGGGAACTTAGTAACAATTTAGTTATATGTTTGTGTGTATGTGTGTCTTATTTGGGGGCTTGTCAGTGAGATGATGTGGAGGAAGAGGAGAAAACATCATTTTTAGTCCTTAAGAAGCTTAAGCAATATATCGAAGTTTAAGAACAAAAACGTGGCTGCTTTGCAGGAAATTGAATGCTGTACAGTGACTAAGAGAAGTTTGTTGTTTGTCTGGTTTTTTTTTTTTTTTAATGGAAATTATTGGGTTCCACTGCATTTATCTTTGTGAATTACGGTGTTGGGTTTTTTCTTCTGAAAGCAGTTGCAAAGTACTTCTATATTTTTATCACTTTCAGGCATATGAGTCTGATTTATGTTCCATTCTAACATAATCACAGGTGTCATCTGTTACGTAGTGGAATGCTGCTGTTTAGGCTATACGTTCAGGATTTGACAATTCAAAAATAAAATTGTTTAGTGGTGGTGGTTTTTTTTTTGTTTTGTTTTTGTTTCTTTTTTTAAAATTTACAGATGCTTTAAGACAAGCTACTTTCAAAAGGTTGTAAACAATGTAGCAACATTTTGCATTTAAGCCTCAGTGTTTTACTTTGTTTTTCTTAAATGAAAATAAAACTTTCAAGTAAAAACTCCAGTAGTAGTTTTTTGGAACTATGACTTAAAAGTCTTATTTAAAATATTTTCATTTTTAAAATATATATTCAAGTAAATATATTCCTAACATCAGTGTGATTTGGTATGAATTGACAGAATGGTTGTTACAGGTATATGCAGCTCCTTTGATCTTCTATTAAGCAATCCAAACAAAACCAGCAAACAATAAAACTGTATTCTGTCTTTAGTTTGTAACAATAACTCCAGTTAAGGTTATGTGAGAATAATGTAGCTGATGCAGTATTTGCTAAAAATTATTAGGACAGTGTTGTTGAAAGATTTTAAATAGATCAACTCTTCCATTGCCTCTGGCTTCTCTTTATACTGTTTTATTAGAGGTTCTAGACTTGCTGAAACCTTTCTGTCAGTATTAGCAGTAATAGTTTATGGTTTTTTCTGCATTCAATCAGAGGATCATAGGTTAATTGAAGTTGGAAAGGTCCTCAGGAGGTCTCCACTCCTACAAAGATCATCTATGAGGTTAAACGAGGTTGCTCAGGGCTTTATCCGTTTGGGACTTGAAAACCTCCATGGACTGCCAGCCTCTTTGGTCAATCATATTACAACATTTGACTGTCCTCATGATGAAAGAGTTTTTCCTTATATCCAGTCTGAGCCTCTGTTTTTTTAACTTATGCCTGTTGTCTGCTGTCCTCCTGCTGTGTGCTGATGTGAAGAGCCTGAATCAGTCTTCTTGATGCCTTCCTCGTAGTTACTGGAGTACTGCTATTAGGTGTCTTCCCTCCCCCTAAGCCATCTCTTCTCCAGGCTGAAGCAAAATTTTGTCTTTATTACTTTTTTCAAAATCCTTGATATCTGTAAACAACCAGAATGTCAAGCAACACTGAGTTTCACTCTCCTCCGCACATGGGTAAATCTGCTTATTTTCTCTATTTCTGTAATGTTTTCACTTCCTACTTTAGTATTATTTTGAGCTTTAGGAAGATGGAAAAATGAATTTCATTGGTCACAAGAAACAATGAAATCATTAAATCACTGTCATCATGATACAAATCTGGCATTTTGAAGAATGCCTTTTTTTTTTTTTTTTATGTTTACATGCGTTTTATTTTTGAAATGCAGATCAAATAAGTTGAAGCCAAAGGAGTAGGACATATGGTATTAAATGCTGTTTTATGTTCAGTGGACCTCCTTGTTGTCTGCATGTTAATGTGCCTATGAGGTCCTAGTTCAGCAAAGTATATCTTTAGTTTTGCATCCTACATTGTCAATTCAATGGTTCCTGTGTTTTGCACATTTGTCTAATTTAGAAGAGCTCTGTGTTATTCTTGCATAGCTGCTAGACCTGTATGGCAAATTTTTTTGTTAATGAGTCTAACCTGCTTGTTATGTGCTTAGGTTTAAAAACTTGTATTATAAACTTTGCTAATCGAAATGATGTATTTAGCTTTCATCAGAAAATAATAACACACACACACACACACCCCCCCGCAAATAAGCATATTTCACCAAAAGAAGTCATAAGCTGTACTGAAAACCTAGTCAAAATCTGACTGCATTCTCTTTATTTAGCAGACATAAAGAGAAGAAGCATGGATGTCCTTTTCTTAAAATTCTTACTGCATTAAAAAAGAGTTAGAAAAGTGATAAGCAAAGAGTGGCAGGATCAATCTGTCTTCTCTCATGTGAATTTCTTTTCTGTGTCTTTGAGGAAATATCTTACCCATCTTTAAATATCTGCTTTTTGCTACCTACATTGAGATTATAATCAAAAGCCAGCATAATATTTGAGGTGATAGTGCACCATTCACTTGTACTTGTGAATTATTTTCCCTTTTTTGTTAACATTAAAAAAAAAATGCTGAGCAAAGACATTCATTAAACTGTCAAAAGGAGTATCTACATGTCTTCCTTGAGAGATTGATGTATTTTAAATTGTTCTTGTCATGGTTAGGTTTCTCAGATTTTTTTTTTCTCATAAAAATATTGTATTTGCCTTAAATTAATTCTCTTAATAAATTGCTAACTGTATAGATTAACAGCTTTCAAACTGTTCATTATTTGAGCAATTCTATTTATAACAAATCAAAGCCACATGAACGTTATTGTTAATATTATGTTTTAAGATACGTTCAAGCGGTATGTATTTGATGAAACATTAATGACTAATGATTGTCAAACTATACCATACAGTAATGATTTGAGTCTTACAGATGAATTATCTGATGTTTGGTTGTTCTTTTCACCCTGAGAAAATGGTAAGAGCGAAATTGTAATAAATGTGTCCTTAAAATTATATTCTTATTCGGTTAGGAAACAAGAATATGTAAAATACTAGGTGTTTTATTGTATATTTACAATTACTGATATACTTTTTTGTTGCCTCCGATTGAAAAACTACAAAAAAACCTTATATATCTTTGGGGACAGGGCAAGGAAAGTATTTTAGTGGAAAGAGGTACTGTTGCCTTTTAAATGTAACACTTGTTTTTTAAAGTAACATGAATTTGTCATTTGTGTGTCTGCAAATTCTGGAGCTACCCATTCCTTTGGACCTAACTTCTAACACTTCACAATCACCAGTAAGAGAGTTCTAAAGAACTTTTTTGCTTTGCACAATATATTCCCAGCTAAACATCTGAACCTGTTCTATGGATGAAATACTAGCTTAAATATGCTTTTAAATGTGAAAATAAAAATGTAAGACAGAAACCTTTAACGTGTGTGTTTGGCTTTTTCAATGAAGTGAAAAGTTCTAAGTGCTTAAATAGCCCAAGTTCTGAAGAAATAAATAACCTATTTAACTGGAGAGTTACATAAAGATGGTAAATGATTCACCTTTCTTCAATGTTATATACTATTACCTGCTTGTTTTCTAAAATTGCACGTAAATGCATTCAGATGAGCATAGTGGTTTTTGGTGGGGTGGTGATGATGATCATTATTATTATTATATTTTATTTTATTTTTACTGCAGAGCCAGTGTTTTGGTACTATGTGAAAGAAGTTCTGAATAAGCATGAACTGCAGCGCTTTTACTCTCTGAAGACAATTACTACAGATATTGGTAGAGGTCGGGCTTGGTTGCGCTGTGCATTAAATGAACATTCCCTGGAAAGATATGTTCATATGCTGCTTGCAGATAAGAATCGACTCAGGTACTGTATTTGATGCCTTTGTAATGCAGGAAATGTATTGATAAATGAAGTACTGAGAATAAAAAAACCCGACCATCCAAAAAACACAGCTGCAATAATACACCTTATTAATTGCTGTGCTAGTGAAGCCACTTAACCTCATACTTTTGTGGTGTTCATTTTTGAAATTTTGGCAGCCATTAAGATGGTGGCTTGTTCCTGTATCAACATGTGACCTGAAACTGGCTTCATTCTAGCACGTGAGAATATATGCTTCTATCCTTATCTTCATTTCCATCCTCTTTCCTAATTCCCTTCCCTATTCTTTCGACAGTTTTCCTCACTGAGACCTTGACACCATGCTTTGAGGTGCCCCTCTCATTCCATCAAAATAGTACACAACTGCAGCCTTGATCTTATCAGTTCATCAATGGTAGTTGCCTGTTGCCTTTTGGAGATGCTCATCCTGTAATTGAAAAGCTCCAGCAGTCAAGCAATATGTAGCCACTACTGCAGATCACTTGGAAGTGGTTTTGTATCAGTTTGTGAACCTTCTTGTTATGGAGTTACTGAGAATAATTTACTACATGTCGTGAAATCCTAAGGTTCTTTGGATGTGCAAAATGCACTTAAGTTCATATTTAACAGAGTCCTAGCTTTTTCCTCCTACATCTTCAGCTCCTTTTCTTTTTGAAAATTTGAGTTTTTTTCCTTTTTTATTAATAACTGTTGAGCTTGCTCAAGTCCAGCGGATTCAGCAGAAAGGCATTCTTTCCATTTGCATCAATTAATGGATGTACTGGGTAAGATTATTGCCAGAACTGAGCTCATTAGTACCTCCTTTTCATTTTTAGTCTGTTCCAGTCCTCTCTGTCTTTCTTTCAAGACAGATTTTGATATGAAATCAAATGAAGATGAATGAAACAACAAAGGAAAAAAAAATCTGAAAACTCTTGTGAGGAAATTAGTGACTTTATTGCTATTTAGAATAGTGACACTATTGGATTGCTATTTACAATAGTGACAATAAGTAACTAATTACTGTTATGCTTGTAGCAATGCTTGCGCAGTATTAGGATTATCAACACTCTCTGTGTTGTACATGAAATATTATTTCTAAAAAGGCTTATTCCAGTGTATTTAAAATGTAAATGTTATCCAAATTCAAACGGGATTTACAGAGTCAGTTTACATCCTCAATTCTTATCTGTTTTAGAAACTTTTAAATCAGTCTGTCACAACTGTTTAATATAGGTTGAGGGTTTTCTTGCTATCTGTTTTTATATTTAGTTAACTGAATGCTGATAGTAAAAAATACAGCATCCTGCTAGTAAAAAGAACCAGGTTTAGAACAAGTAAATTCACATGTTCACAGTGAAATTCCTGTTAACATTTTTTTTCTTACATCCAAATTCCTAGTTGACTCTTAACTATTTAGGATAATTGATGTGGTTTTGGGTATTGTAACAGGTCACCGAATCATAGAATAATAGAATGGTTGGGTTAGAAGGGACCTTTCAAGATCGTATACTCCAGCCCCCCTGCTGTGGGCAGGGACATCTTTCACTAGATCAGGTTGCTCAAGATGAAGTGGATCTTTTTGTTTGTATTCCTGCGTTCTAATATTTTATAAAATGGCTTGGTAATTCTGGTCAACTATAGTTATTAAAAACCTTATATATGCAGTATAGCAATAGGTGTAGCAAAATATTGTGACTGCTAATGTAGTGTAAACCTCCTTGCCCTAAGTGGCTTTTTTCTCATTAAAAAATGCAGAGCTAAAATTGAAGATAAAATACTATTCAGCATGTCTTTGATAACTGTTCAGACAATTCTATATATTTCAGGCCTCAGGGAGTTACCATGATATACAATTTGATCCATTGGTGTACTCATACTTATTTTTCAGACTTTCCGTGTCATTTAGAAGCAGAATATATGTTAATATAGGACTGCATATTCTTTTTTTTTTTTTTTTTTTTTTTTTTCTTCCTTGCAAATCATAGTGTCTTCTATGAAGACTGGTCTTTTATGATGGATGAAGAACGTTCTAGTATGATCCCTACGATGGCAGCTGGTAAGACTTTCTCTTAAATTATATATTTTTCTTGGAAAACTATTTCATTTTGGGATGTTATATCTGTTTCTGGTTGTGAGGAGCTTCTCTAACACTCTTTGCTAATGTGGAGAATGTGTCAGTTGCACATTCAGGGTGATTGTATTGTGATTCAGGTATTATGCCAATTTATGCTATGAATTGATGAACTGTTAAAACACTGGATCTGGCCTTCCTGCTGTTCAAAAGTCTTTCACATAAATTTTCTAACCCTTCATGAGTCAGGGCTAACTTTTTTTTTAAAAACTAGGACAATTTAGAGAAAACAAAATGGGTTATTCCCAACTAGAAAAGAGTGATGATAGACTTTTTATAGTAAGATGCAAATTATAGATAAATACATGGAAGGAACCTAAGAGTAAAGAATGATAACAGATAATTGCCTTTTCTAGAGTTCGACGACAGAAGTGATCTATTATTACCTTTTACACCCCTTTTCTCAGATATGTGGTCACATGTTTTGTTCTGCAAGATAGGGTTCACAGGAGTTTTTCTTAATAGAATATAGGAACCAGCAAATATTAAAGATGCAGTGAAATGGGTTTAAATAAAAGGTTATAAATAAATGAGTTCACAGTACTTACTGCTTATTTAATGTGCAGCTGAACAGCCATCAAGTTAAATTCAGAACTGATTGCATCAGCTCAAATATCATCTAAAAAAGAATGAATGGTACATGAAAGAATAAGAATTCGTACATGGAGAACTGTGGGAAATTTTTGGGGAAATGTTTTACATGTCTTAGCTTTGTTAATACTTAGGTTTTATCTTTATAACTTTTGTACGAAGTATATCGTGGCTTTTTGGTCTTCCCCCCCCCCCCCCCCCCATCTTTTATCTGAAGGTCTGAACTCCATTCTTTTTGCCATCAACATTGATAATAAGGATTTAAATGGGCAGAGCAAATGCATACCCACCGTGTCGGATTTGTTAAAGGAATCAACGCAAAATGTAACCTCGTTATTGAAAGAATCCACTCAGGGTGTTAGCAGCCTTCTTAGAGAAATAACTGCATCATCTGCTGTCTCGATTCTAATAAAACCTGATCAAGACACTGACCCGCTTCCTGTTCTCTCAAGGAATGTAAATGCTGGTAAGCATTTTTGCAATGTTAGTGTCATTCGGAAACTTATAAAATATTCAAGTTCATTTAAATAAATTTTTCAGTTAAATTTAATGCACTATTATGGTACAAAAACCTTAAAAGTGCACTACACATGCAAACTAGTTGAGTGAGAAATAAAAAGTATGACATTTTTTAGAAATACTGGTGTCAATACTGGATGATATATGTGTATTTTAGCTTGCTTGTATCACTGCGAGAGGGAGGCTAAACTGTCTTACTGGTTAAGTGCCTTGCTTGCAACCTGAATTTCAATTTCCTATTCATAAGACTATGCCTTGCAGTTTCTGATGTAATGATTTTTCATTTTTAATATGTTTTCTTTCTGCTATTTCTCAGTCAGAAAAACACTGCTATATATCTGTTGTTGTATATCAGATAAAAATCTTAGCTTGTAATCTTCTTCAAGCAGTGCCTATGTATAATCAGGCAAAATCTGATGCTCATTATACATTTTCAGTTCTCAAAATAGCAAAGGAATATTTTATCATCTTTGTTTCCAGAAGTTGAGCTGAAAGAATGTTTTGCTTTGTAAAGGTACAAAAGTGCAGGAAGATTCTAGGATTTATGTGTTTTTCAATTAAGAAACAAGGTTTGTGTTTAGGCTTTAAACTGTTTTGGTTATGAGAAAAAGGAAAAAACACACATGTGAATGTTAGCTGGTAGGAATAGAAGTTGAGATAAAATCTTTTAGTTAGCATTTAAAATAGGCTGTCTCAAAACACAAACTTGAGGTAAAGCTTTTGTTGTTCAGCACTTATAAATGAGATTAAAACCGTAGGTGATACTTGACTTGGCATAACTTTGTTAGTATAGAATAGGTTTGCAAGATGAAATAACAGAATAGTTGACCATATGCTGCACATGACTATCACATAAGGTACAGTATATGTATAGTACATGTAATGTACAGCTTGCAATAAAATGTCACTTTAAAAAGTTTGTTCAAATGCCATTATATGTTGAATGTTAGAGCAAGTCAGATGTTTTCATTAAAGTCTATGTTCTTTGCTGGAATTCTATTTTTATCCAGAACGGGTTTTAACATCCTCTTACTCTTAAAAGTATTTTAATGTGTTTTGTGGATATATAACAGCTAGACTTGAATTAAACAAAGCAGTTTAGTCCCAATGTGAGTTGTCTTCCTGAGTAAATTTCTGATATTTCTTAGAGTGCTTCCACACCACAAGGTCATTTAGCCTTGTGTGCACATCAGAATCAATGAGAATAGGTAATAATTTAAAAATAAGTACTGTCACAGCATACACGTGATGTAATCAGAGAGGGTTTCAGCGTATTTCTAGACCAAGAGCTAATTAGCTGAGGGAGGGAGCAAGCTTAATTTCTTTTTCTGAAAACTGACTGCTCAACTTCTAGACAATAGACAAAACTAACTTTATTTGATTTCAAGTTGTGGATTTCTTTGTGTTGTGAATTTTTTAATTTTTTCTCCCCAGAAGTGTTTCATGTTTTCTCTGTTGTACAGACATACTCTGCAATGCACACTAGCCACATTCCATGGGACAAAGTGATGGAAAGGCTAACTTTTTATTTTTAATTTCATTTTATAAGTTTGTTGAATTTTTTTTTCCAGTTCCCATTGAATACTGTTATGAATGCACCTCCAGAATATCTTCTAAAATCTGAATTATGTAAGGCATATGAAATAAAGATGGTAAAGATCTAAAAGCTCATGTCTATGGAAAGATAATGAAATGTGTTGTAGATATAAATATTTTTTTCTTTACTAAACTAATTTTGCACATGAGTTCTTTTAAGAAAAAAAACCAACTGTTGTTTCTCTTTTCTAAAATACATAAACCTTTGTGTTGGTACTAGATTTGAAATATAAAAAAGATCGAAAAAAGAAGAAGAGAGTGACAAATATTATTTCATTTGATGAAGAGGAAGATGAGCAAAATTTGGGGGATGCCACAAAGACTTTGATTACAGGAGAAAGTTCAGAGGAGAGTGTAGACAAATCTTCAGTTCTTGTATTATCCTCATCTGAAAGCACTCTTGGAAAAAATTTGAATGGAAGTGAAAGTAACCATTCGTGGAAGAGCAATTCGGTATTCATGAATGGAGAGTATGAATACCAGAAACTAGATGTGAAGAGCATTGATGATGAAGATGTGGATGAGGATGAGCTATGTGGGAAAATGTTAGGAAATAAAGGCGTAGAAGGTGAAACTGAAGCTTCTGAAAAGTAAGTAATTTTGCTGGAGCCAGTGGTAATTTTTAATTACCCTCCCATGCTTCCTTCGTGGGTACTGGCAAATTCATGTAACTAACAGAACTATAGGTTCCCCCGTCCCCTTATTTTTTTTTTTTTTTCCATCATTTAAACCACTTGGGCCACTGTGGTGATGGTATTTTGCTTCGAAGTTCCGCTGAAACCCAACATTTCAGGATTTCAAACTTGTTCTCCTTGAAGTTCTCAGTTGTTGAAATTTGTTGCATGATATAGCTGGGCTGTAATTTGGGCCTGTTTGAAATTTACATATTCTTAGTGTGATATCAACTCTATTTTGCTTTCACAGTAAACCCACGTATTTTAAACAGAGTAAGCCTGTTATCATCGGAGTAAATAGTTAAACAAGACAAGACAAAACTGAGAGAAAAAGAATAATTTTAGGTAATAATATGCCCTCTTTATTTCTGACACAGAAATCCCTTTGGAGAAAAAGAGGCAAGCACTGCTTGTCTCATCTGCTTTGGAATGGTCTGATCTTTGGTGAATTTATGTATGTCTGAACCAAGAAATCGGCAGGCAGATTGAAATAAAGATTTTTCTTGCAGTGATATATCTGAAAGAAACATAAACATTGTATATGTGACTATTGACTGTATAAATAGGTTGTTTTGTTTGTTTGTTTTAAATCTAGGCCTCATGAAATAGGCACATGCAATTCTCAGATATGCAGTTGGACTCCTTTGCAGGTCCTGAATGATGACTCAGATGTTCTATTTCCTGTCAGTGCTGTTGGCTCTTACTCCCAAACAGGTAGGTACTTTAATTTACCAAATTCCAGCAAACTTTATAACAGAATTTCTAACATGGGACAATGGTAAGAAATAATGGGATTGTAAGGACATAGGAGATGTTGCACAACTGGGATGGGATGTTTAATTAAAATTTATTCTAGATCTGAATCAGAGTTCTCCATTTGAGTAGATATTTAGTTGAGGAGGATTTATCAATGTCAAAATAAACCAGAGTTTTGCTGGGATTAAGCTGTGGTCTTGTATGGTATTATATTAATGTTTAGGTTGGTTGCATAGAAAGTATCCTTACTCATTTTCTAGATATCACTAAGCTGGAAGAAGCTGCAAGTGTGTTTGAGAATTTGAATTCAAATTAATCTTGACAGATTGGAGAAAGTATCAAATATTGGATGAAGTTCAATAGAAGCTGTTATCTGTGTATATACAGGATGAGGAATGATTGGCTAGGAAATACTTCTTCAGAAAAGGATATGGGAGTCATAGAATCCTAGGATGGTTTGGGTTGGAAGGGTTCTTCAAAGGGCGTCTAGTCCAACCCCCCTGCCACAGGCAGGGACACCTTCCACCAGACCAGGTTGCTCAAAGCACGACCAACCTGGCCTTGAGGGGCACCCACAACTTCTTTGGACAACCTGTTCCTGTGTCTCACCACCCTCATTGTAAAAAAAATTTCTTTCTTATATCCAGCATAAATCTACCCTCTTTCAGTTTAAAACCATTGCCCCTTGTCCTGTCACTTGCAGTTCATGGTAAAAAGTCTGTCTCTGTCTTTCTTATAAGCCCTCTTTATATATTCAAAGGCTGCAGTAAGTTCTCCCCAGAGCCTTCTCTTCTCCAGCCTGAACAACCCCAACTCTTTCAGCCTTTCTTCATAGGAGAGGTGTTCTAGCCCTCTGATCATTTTTATGGCCCTTCTCTGGACCCACTCTAACAGGTTCATATCTTTCTTGTACTGTGGACTCCAGAGCTGGATACAGTACTCAAGGTGGGGTCTCACGAAAGCAAAATAGAGGGGGAGAATCACCGCCCTCACCCAGCTTGCCATGTTTCATTTTATGCAGCCCAGGATAAGATTTGCTTTCTGGGCTGTGAGCAGCAATTGCCAGCTCATATCTAATTTTTCATTCATGTTTTCTGCAGGAGACCCACTATAGTGGGTCACAAGCTGATAGTGAATTAGCAGTGCTGTGCTTCTGCAGTAAAAGCACTTCGTATGAACATGCATAAATGAAAGTGTCATTTGTAAATTTATGCTCAGTTGGCTTTGATGGGGCCTCAGCTGCAATATTGTATGCAGTTTGGGGTACTGCGCTTCAAGAGTGACATGGAACATTTGGAGATCTTGAAGCAAGCAATGAAAATTGTCGAAGGAAAAGAAGACCTGGTGCTTTTCCAGAGTCTGTATTGGTATCAAAACCAGAAACAAACAAAACCACCACCCTGCAACCTCCCTTCTTCGTCCCACTCTCCCCCCAGTTAATGTTTTGCTAGCTGTTTATAAAACATTGCTTTTATAAAAACTTTGGGTAGGTATTCTCATTTCAGTGACGACTTAAAAACTCAGTGGCATTCAAATGATGTTTCAATTGTAAAATATTTCGTATTTTTTGCATATATGTTTTATGTGCCAAAAGTTCAAATGGCCCGTTAATTGAAGGCCTATGAAATGTAATTCAGTTCTGTAAGTTCAGTGATAAAAATGTGAATTGTAAAATAATACTATACTGCCCTCTGCTGTATTTTAAGACATACACATCTTAAGAAATGCTAGTGGTTCAAAAAAAAATAGAAAGTACATTTTTTTTTTTTCTTGTGCTCCCACAATTTCAATTTATGAAGGAATGGATTTAGAAAACATTATGTAGTTTGTGGCTTAGTGTTCTATTAGATTTTTTACAGAAAATGTTAGAAAAAGTCTATAGATTTATAAGTATTTGCTGACTGCAACAGATTGAAATCTGGAATACAGGTAAACATTCCTGTTTGGGGTGTGTGTACGTGGAATGGGAGCTCGCAGCTGGGCTGTGGGAATTAGTAGCCGGTCAGATGTCACAAGGGACCAGGAGCTAGAGCTAGGCGTTTGTAGCTGAAATCGAGTCAGGAGACCAAGCCACGATTTTAGTGCTGGAGACAGATGACCAGAGAGCACAACAATAAGTGTAACAGGGGCTTAATTTTATTAAGGAGATACCAAAGGCCCTTGTTTCATCTTGCTTCATCTCAGAGCTGTTTTGAAGACAATGCTCAGACTACACGAGATGATCAACAACAGGGCCCATTCAGATCCCTTCTGGCATGTTACACAGATATTTTCAGTTCTCCTCCTGCCCCTCTTCGTGATAAACCCTATGGTCCAGCATGCAAGCCAGAACAGTGTGGCATTGGGCTGGTCAAAGGTGTCTTCATCTATTATAGGAAGCAGCAACAGAAATTATGCTGTCTGACTTACTGATTTCAACTTCCCATGCTGTCACTGAGCCCATCTGAACAGTCCTGAACTGACAGAATGTGCAGGCAGTCTTCACTAAAAGGCTCATCATGTAACCCAAACGTCAACCAGTTAGGGAGAGTGATACACATGGGTACAGTCACCCTCTCCCCAGCCATAATGTCAATTTGATGAGACTGAAAGTTGCCATAGGCAGTTGTTTGCTTGACTTTGGAAGTTACGCTTTAGCTAGATGAATGATATCGGAGGGACTGTGGGTAAGCTTTTTCTGAGGGCAGTTCAGCCCAGTAAGTGGCAAGGTCATTATTATTATGACATTTTTACTGAAACATGCTTAATGAGCTTTGTAAAATATATAGTTTAACCCAATATTTTGGTTTATAGGTCTTAATACATATAAGTAACAAGATATGCATATTTGAAATAGATTACAGCATGATCGACAGTGTTGTATGTTGATAATCAGTGTTCTCCATTTTGGTCTGTTGCAGTGCTTTGGGGATGTGTCAGGGCATATTGTATCTCCATGTACCTAGTGATGAGAAAGCCTGAGTCAAAATGGAGTATGCATTTTAGGAACTGAACTTCAGTAAACTACTGCTTAAAAAAATGAACCTTCTCCTCCATAGTGATTCTGACACAACTAATTCCCATTAACTTTTTTTCTATAATTCCTGTGTTTTAAATTCTGTGCTATTGTAGCACATGATTTTAGGATTGTTTTATGGTAAGTTTGTAACCCTCACACAGTGAGATGCAGGAAAACACCAATAAAATGTGATTTTTTTTGTTTCTTTCCACCTGAACTTCTTTAATGACAGGCCCAGTGATGTATATATTCTGAGCTTGACAGTTTTGTATTTGTCGACAAATGCATAAAAAAAATCTCATCTGTCTGATTCCTGATGTTGGGTACATAGGCATAAGGAGCCAGAGAAAAGCCATGGTGCTCTGTTGGGAACGCATAAAGGACTGGTGTCTTTGCAAGGTTTCATGTACTAAACACAAATTCTTTTCCTGCAAGTCACAAACAGATTTGTGATGAGTATCAGATGCTATGTGATGGTTCACCTCCTGGGGCTTGCAAAAATAACTTCAGTAAGAAGTCTCTCCATAGCCTTGCAACATTGTTATCAATGTAAAATGTACATCTAAATTATAATTTAGGAATTGTGCAATACCAATTTTTTTCTAAACTGATGGCTGTGTTCTTAAGGGGCTTTACAGTCTTACTGGCATTCAGGGTGAATGTGCAGAAGCCAACCTTGGAGAAAAAAGTGTGTGAAAGCTTGAGTAAAGATGAGTATTTCTAGTAAAAAATGAACTACCTTCCTTCTGGGTTTGTTTTTATTTTCATTTATTTTTTAAGTACTGTTACCTGAAGAAAGCTAATGCTTGTGCATTCTACTTCAGATAACTTGGAGAATGGAGAGGGACATGAACACGTTGTTCATGCGGTAGAACTGGTTCCAAGAATATCTGATCTTCCTTACAGGTAAGCATCAAATATGGTTTTTTTTTAAAAGAAAAAAATCTTCACCCTGTAGCTGCTAACTTATTATAGCTACTCAGTACTGGAAAATAAACTATTCATCATGGTACTTCTGCAAATGTTTGGAAAGGCAAATGCAAAACTTCCCTTTTTGCATAGTTTCATATATTGAACTTTTCCTAATTATCTTGAAGAAGTCACGTAGTCATGTCAAATTACAGGCAGACTTAGCCTCCTGATTTTGAAAATAGGCTTTATGTTATTTTTTATGGGTTTTTTTACTGTATTCTCCATGGCCTGTTAATTTGGATCTTTTTGTGTGTATTCTTAAATCACACTCACAACAGATATATTAAAGGATAGTTAAACATAAGTTGATTGAATATGGGTGAATATGATCACAGTTCTAGCTTCTGGAATGCTTTTTTCTTGTTTTGAGTTCAGGATTTTGTTTTCATTTATTGATGATATTGTACTTTTATGACTAGAGTGGAAGTCAGTCCTCCAGCTCAAGTGAATACTTTAAGCAATATGTTGCCTTCAACCACTGTGCCAGAATCCATGACAATTAGTAAGTATTTCCTTGACGTATCTAGATTGATGGAATTAATTCTTAAAGTCCTATAACTCTTAATTTCCATTTTTATTTCAGTGCGGTCTGTTTAGGGAGGCATACAGCACTTCATTTCTGGTATGCTGACCACCTTAGAAATGACTGCTCAAAAATAATTTTCAAATTGGCAGATCCCAGGTTATGGCTCATTGCAAATGGTATGACATTAGCTTCTCTTCCCATAGAGAAGCTAATGTCATCCTAATACTAGATGTGGCTTGAGTAGTTAAATGAACAATAATGATTTAATTTGATTAATGGCTTTAAATGTCTGCAAGCTCTGAAAACACTAATGGTTGGTTCTGATGTGATCTTACTTATTTTGCCTGCTTTCAGTAATGACTAGTCAGAAAAAAAACCCGAACAAACCCAGAACTCTTTCTGTGTACACTCAGTCTGTGGTTTTGATATAGAAATCTGCTCCAAAAATAAATATGGGCTTTTATAAGAAAAAACTTTAGTTAATATTAACTGGGAGTACAGTCATATTTTCAGTGGTATTAAGAGTTGAGCTGGAGAGGATAAAATAGCCATTGCTGTAGAAAGAGATGAGTAGAAGTACAGGCAGTTTGTTTATCCCATCTTTATTCTTTTATTCTCACATAAACTTGTAAAACAAAGAATGAGTTCTTAAACTGACTAGTTGTCTAAACATGCAAGCCAGTATGGTTTTATTTTCCTCACTGTACAGAAAGCTTTGTAACTGAACTGGTGGATATGGCTTTGTTCCTAAAGCTCTGGGGTGTGTGTTTGTTTCTTTTTATAAATGTAAATATGTAAAAATTTTAGAAGTGGTGCAGCCAAGATTCTTTTCTGAAATTGATTTATGAAATCATCAAAAGGAATGAACCCTTAAGATATTCTAATCTTATGTTCTAATGTTGTGTTCAGGCAACGTCAGTGTCAACATATGTTAAAGGAGGCAGACCATGCATTTTTGCTGGGTACTGTTTAAGGCTCTGGCATGGGTCTGCTGACTGAACTTTGCAAAGCTGAAAAATCCTTTCTTACAAAGTACTTTATGAAGTGAGAAACTAGTTGAGACTTTTAAGTGACATAATTGAAGGTGTAGATGGAGTTACTGTTGATAGTTACTGTGATACTTCAATCACTGGATATTCTCTGCTCATGTTACTACTACAATATCCTTTTGTTCTTACATTTTTATTTTTCAGTAATAGAATTTTAATGGGAAACTTTCTGATTTTATTGCACTCCATTGATTTTTATTGTTTCATAGGTGTAATAGGTACCAGCAGGGGCCGCAATTGGTCTCCTTCAGTTGCTCGGTTAGTTCCTATGTATAGTTAAGACAGCTATAAAATAGAAAGTAAATCTTGAGGTTTTCAATTCTTGATACTTAGCAATTTGTAAATGAAATGAACCACGGGATCAACAGAAGCATACGTGCTCTCATTAGTTTCCCATTTCAGAGAAGGTTTTGGTGCAAGGAAGGGGGGAAGCAATGTCAAAACAATCTATAAAGCCAGTAGAACACTTAGTAAATAACCTAATTATCATTATAATAAAAATTCAGCTGATTATACATATAAGTTAATACCTTTATAATAGCTGATCCCAGATACATTCAGTAAAAATGCTTTTTTTTCAGTTCATTGTTATTGGTCATAGATTCTCTGTACAGGAAGAATTCAGTGCTATGACAAAGCCAGACACTGAAGCTCTTTTTCTCTATTGCAATTAGCAGAAGGATTATTAAATGCTGAGGCTCATAGCTTGGTTGCATAGCAACTAATTCTAACATATCAGACAAGAAAAATGGAATGCAATAGCGCAGTGAGAAAAGCTGTGAAGTCTCCAGTGTCTGGATTTTTGTGCTTCTTACTTCTGAAGACAAAGCCTGAAATTAATTTTTTTTAATCTATTCTTTTCCTGCTTCCTTTCCAATTTACTAGCATAATGTAACCTTTTCTTGGTTCTTTTGATATGCAGGCTAGAAAATGATGTTACGATAAGCTGTAATTTAAAATTTTTGCCATTTTCAGTCATTTTCCTGAATTTATGTTCCTTGTGTTTGTAAGGTGTAGATTAACTTAGCAGCAGATACATTTCAAAAAAACCCTTAATACCACTCCATTGGAGTTAGTTTCACTGTGTATGTTAAACATTTTTTGAAAACTTGCCCTGCTTTACAGATCATTATGTCTTATAACCGATTTTACAAAGAATTAAGTTTTTGAGGAGTTCTGTATTTAAGCATTTATTCCATTATGTCATTTTCCAGTTTTTTAAAAATTATATTTATCTTGTCATATTTGCATCACAAACAACTTTGCTCCAGTTATAGTTGTTGGAAGATTATATTTTCAGCATTGTTTTGCACCATAAAAATCTGTCTTACCAGCACAAGTCTCCCCATTTTGTTTTTGCAGTGGAAAAAAAGGAAGTTCCAAAACTTTTCATTTTAGAAGGATGCTACTTGTGTCCTTCTTTACGAGGTTCTTTGATTATAGTGCTGTTTTTAGTAAATAAATGGGAACTTAATTTTTGCACTATAATTTTCCTCAGTTTTTTAAAGTTGGGCTTAACCACAAAGGTTAGCAAAGGTTGTAGCATTGTACAGTATTCCATATTTTTTCATACATTCTTGAGAAAGCCCCCAGTTTTTCATGATCACTGAATAAATTTACTGAATAATAAAACCTACATGTTATATTTTTATCCTGGCTGTGTAAGTAAGGCGTATGGTTTTGTATTTTCTTTGTCCTCTAAACAGCTTCTGACCTGTTCTGTAACTTGGTTGCCACTGGTCACTGACAGGTACTAAATTCTCATGACTTCTCTGAAAGCACAGCTATGGAAAGAGGGCGTACAAATTTAATCACTGAGAAAAAAGCTGCAGTTCATCTTATGGATTTTTTTTTTTTTTTTTTTTTTTGGTCAGGACCCTTCTATACAGTAGAAGGCCAACACTGTATTGTCTAATTTGTTTCCTACTAAAATTTGCCCTGTTAATAGTGACATGACAGGATAATATTTACAAGATTTTGGAGCACTAAATAAAGCCTTAATAGCCAGTGTTCATGCAGGCAGCTTAGGGAGCGTGTCTTTAAAGGTCGGACTTCTGATTTAAGATGTAACTAGTCTGCTGGGAGTTTTATTTGTCTCTGAAAATATCTGTGTAAATTTGCACTCAGGAAAATAAAAAAATAATTCCTGTAGACTGCTCCCAGCCCACCCTGATATTCTATCTGCAGGATTGCAGAGGAGTGCTGCATGACCTTGTGTACAGTGAGAGATGATTTCACTTACAGCTCATTCTTCGTAACAGGTGATTGCAAATCATACTTATCCAATCTTTGGCTAAACAGCAAGAGTTGTGAAACTTATGACTTTTCTGGAGGTTTCTGGGAAATTGACAGGTGTTTCTTAAAGTGTGGCAGTTTTTTATATATTTCATGCTGTGAATGTGACCTTATAAAAGCTTTATAGAAGCTAGGTGTTGCATGTAGTATGCAAGTGAATTAAAAATGTTTTGGAGCAAATATTTGTTTTATTAGTAGATTCATTTCAACAATACAAGATAATTTTTAGCATTTTAAAAAGTGAGGTTTAATATGAAAAATTTAATTAGCACATTCCTTGATTTTTATGTTATCTTTTTTTACTGATAAAGGCACATCTGGTTTGGAATTATTGCTTTGCACATGGGAAGCCTTTTTTTAAGAAGTTGTTGCAAAAATATCTCTTAAGATTATATAATTTGAAAGACTTTACTAGTTATTATATCTGTCTTCATGAAACTAACATCAAACAGTTTTCTGAAGTGGGTATACTTGGCCATCCTCCCACTGTTTTATTTAAAAAAAAAAAAAAAAAAAAAAAAAAAAGAGAGGGACAAAGACTGAGGTCAGAAAATACCAAATTTATGGTTGCTGCTATTACCCTGTTTGTTTTTGTTTTTTTTTTATTCCTTTTTCTACCCCACACAATGAATGAGACATGTCTGCTGAAAAAATAAGGTTATGATCATACAGTGATCTCAGAGGCAAGCATAACACACAGACAAAAGCTTATGAACTGAGGATGTTCTGGCAGATTTGAGGTAAACCTGCCGCAGTGTATGGTACTGGATTTACTTTGCCTTCAGCTGACTGTTCTGATGTGCTGCTAAAATTTTTCAAGAAGCATAAGTGAGAGTAAGAAATTATGATTTTTGGAAGTTTTGAATGTTATGACTGAATTAAATAGAATGGTGTCATTTTAGTTCTATTCAGTTACTTGCATCAAAAGATTGTGAAATTAAAGTTTCTGGTTGGTTTTTTTTTTTTCCTTGGTAACTTCTTATTTATTTAATTACACTAACAAATGCTTGAATCCTTTATATTTACCGTGGATGGAAAAGTTAAAGAAGTGTTGATCATGAACTATATAGTTCTTGTGGTTTTTTTGAGTAATTGATAGAAAATATGGCTCCTCAATACATGTCACTTGAAGAAGAAATAACGTAGATAGAGCAATGAAGCACTATTGCTGCTACAGTAAGCACAACCTATACAAGCCTTCTTGGAACCCTGGGCTTTTAGCCCAGACTAGTTGTTTGTGTTGATGCTTCCTTCCACATCTACAGTGTTATCCGCAGCTGAACTAAATCAGCAAGAAATACTCAGTATGTATTGCATTTGCTTTTGTGGTCCTAAATTAAGCACTGATTTTTGTCCTTTATGTGATAATGAAATTTGAAGTTTCTGCTTTGCTGTGTCTCTACAGTATTGTCAATTCTTTAACTCTCAGAAAAAATGAAGCAAATAGACGTTAAAATGCTTTTTATTTCTGTTTCAAGAAGTTTTTTTAATTCTCCTTCTATGCAAACCATGGTCTTTAACAGAATCTTGCTTTCATGCTCTGCTTACTTATGTGTGTATTGGAAAGGGGAGTGAGAGGAGATGGGATTTCAACTCTGCTCATGCAGAAGGTTCTGGGTGGAATAAGGGAAAGAAGATTAAGTTATTAGGCAAGTTTAGGTTACAATTTGAATAGGCTGGTAAAATTGGAAAAAACCGAGACAGTTTATAATAGCTTCACTGTTTAAATGTTAATAAATCAGTATACATTTAAACAGACTGAGTGTGCATACAGGCAATTATTGTGGAGAGTCACCTCAGCATAAGTGCAGAGCCAGTGCTACAATAACTTGTCTGAGTAAATGGCTTTAATTTATTTAGTCAGAGAAATAATAGCAACTAACTCAGATTGTGCATTGTCATATTTTAATGACACTCTTGAAATATTTAAAATGCCATTGGCTTGATGCTTTCTTGAGGAGGATTCTGAATTCAACTTTATATTTAAAGATCTTTATTGTGTTACAGAGTATTACTGTACTGAAAGCTTACTATGGATGGTTTTTGCTTGTGTTGTACGCAAGGCTTGAATGCTTACTGGATTATCCTATTTTCCTCATCCTTAGAACTTTTTTTTTTTTTTTTTTAAATTTCACAGATAGGCTGATGGATTGTGGTCCATTTTCGCAACACTATGTATTATTTTTTTCAGGACTGTTACAACCCACCAATTTTCCACTGCCAAAAAAGTCTGCCAACAAAGCACAAAATAACCCAAGCAAAAAACCCTCAAACACCCCACCTTTCCAGTCTGCCCTCAAAGTGGTAATGTCTCATCATGGCCAAAAGAATACTAAGTGTGTTGAGTTTAATGATCACCAAGTTTGGTACTTTATAGCTAAATATAATACTTAAATCTCAGAATGTAGGGCTTGGTGGGTTTTTTTTTTCCTTTTTTTTTCCCCAAAATAAATGTTAGTCAAGAGAAGCTATTATAGACCATCTTTTGAAAAATAGTCATAAAAATAATGGAGCACAGCATATTTTGTAATATATGATCTTTCCATTCTAAGTTTTTCTACAATTAATACATAAATTGCAGTGGTTACCTGGTTACTTCAATGCGATATGAACTTTACTCTTGGCAAAAAGGGTATTCCACCTTCTATTCCTCATCCTTATTGACTAAAAAGGTGTTCTGTTCTGCCCTGCTTTCTGATATGTGTGTTGTGCCAGCAACAGTATTAAACTCAACAGTAAGATCACTTGACAACTGCTTGTCTGAAAAGTGGCCCAGCAGAAAAAAAAAAACCCAAACAAACCAATTTTGAGCTGGATCAGTTCCTGCTAGGACACTGTGTGTATAAACACCAGTGCCAGGACAAGGGAGGTGGTAGCAATGATGGGTAAGGCAAGCTAGAATGTCCTTTTTGCTGAAAGCACAGCCTTAGGAAGGCTGATTAAAATAGCCATGTAATCACAGCTTTGGTTTTGAATATGAGTAACATTATTGAGGAAGAAAGCAGAAGTCTCCAGATGTTTTTCTTTTTTCTTTTTTTTTTTTTTTTTTCTTTTCAAATTTAACTCTTGGCTTTTCTACAAGATTTGGACAACTATAAAGATGCTAAATTACTGTAGAAAAATAATTATTCTTTCTGTGCTGAATTAATGGAGTGCAAAATCCCTCTAATGACCTACTGAAATGTTTCTTGCTCATGTCAATTAGTTCTCAAGCTGTAATGTGGAATGGGTAGGAAAGTAATCGTAATCCATGGCCAAAGAAGCAGAAATATTTTGGAAAAAATCTATCGTGAAGAAATTGGATTGGCTGATTTGAAGTTATATGAGAACCCTGCTGAATCCTGCAAGGGGGGATTTACCAGCAGAATACTAGCCAGACTGGAATTGTGGTGTCTGTACTGACTGATACATTTGATTGACATAGTAAAAACTTTCACATTTTGCCCAATACTACAGTGTGGCAGGGGTTTTTTTTGTTTTGGGGTTTTTTTTTGTTTTTTTTTTTTGGCAAAAATTTCTGTAACTGTAGAAAATATTAAGAAAGATACAGGTAAATCAGTGAACTGAATGTAAAGGGTGAAAAAGTTGTCCAATGCCTTTGCTTACTTGAAGAAATTAAGTAATACCAGTTCTGTTAGTATGTTTTCAGTAAAAGCATGAGAAATTTGCTGACATCTGCTTTGAATATTTGCAGAACGGAATTAGCTGATATATTATATATAAACACAGGGAGAATTTCATTTAACTGTTGAGAGAGATGTTTTAATATAATTGTGTCCCTGCAGAAGCTCTCATAAAATTATTGATTAACATATGTGAAATTGTTAATGAAATTAAAAAAAAAAATCTAGTTTAGAACATGTATCTACCCTGATGTTTACTAGAAGCCATTCAAATCTTTGAAGACCTGTTGTATTTCATGTATTCATGTAAGATCTGGAAGTCAGAATCTGTTTTAAATCAGATGATTGAGTCCTAATATTTTTCTGTAATTTTATAGTAAATAGTAATAGTACAACTGTACAGTTATATGGCAAAACCTTTATAATAGTGGAAGGACTCCAGGTGAGGCAGCGCTTTGAGCTGACACTTTTCTGTTATAGTATTTGACTACTCTGATATCACTGTTAAAACTAACCCTAAAGAAGTCTTTAAAAATTCTAAAATTCTGTCATAATTTTTTTTTAAAAATTTTTATTCTTGATGTAATGGCAGAAGGTATTTTTCAAGGTATTTATAGGAAATAAAACGTTTTGATTAGGAAATTACAAGATTCAGAAATCCCATCGTCTTTAAGACAGTCTTTAATGCTGAGCTTGAGAAGAAATGCCATGAAGAAGCAATGCAATTATCCTCTACTCTTGCCTCGCTGTAATAGTTATGCTTCCTGTGTCAGAATTTATCGCAAGGAAAACAAGCATTTTGAAGAAGTTAAACAAGTAACAGTGTATCTCATTAATATGCATGTAGTGAAAAGGTGCACTGTCCCATACGTCTGCAATTAAAACAGCTGCAGCCACAGGCAAACTTGTAAGCATTTGTATTAAAGCCAGATGCAGACTAATTTGATTTGATCAATACTTCTGATACTGTGTTAAATAATACCATTTTTGAAAGATTGCTCAAACTAGTGATGAGATTAAGAGCATTTTTATGTGCTCTGCTGAATAGCAAATGATGTTGGCATCATCTTAAGCATGTTGCTTAATTACTGTCACCATGTGCATGACTTTTAGATCTGAAATGAGCAAAGATACACACAGAAATTCATCTTTTTTGTCCCTTTTCTTTAGATGAACTTCGTCAAGCTATCGTGGCCATGATGAATAGAAAGGATGAATTGGAAGAACAGAATAGGTAGTTTTCTTTTTCAAGTCAAGAGGCACTATAATTTAAAAAAAAAAATCTGTTCTCTAATACAAGCTGTCCTTTGTGTAAAGCTATACATAATCTTTGTGTAATCTTTTTGATGTATGTATTATTTTTCTTTGAAAGGTAAGCTTAATCCTTCAATATTCAACTGTTGATACTGAATAGTGATGTTTGCAGGTCAACTTTTTCCTTTGAATTTGAATTGCATATAACTCTTCTTATCTTGGGAGTTTTGCTAGTTGTAGTTTTTTCAAAATTAGAATTTAGAGCCAAAGGATTCTTAAGATCTCTTAAGATAGCTTTCCAAATGAGTAAAGGTTTGTCCTTATACAAATATTCAGAAGATTTCCTTTTTTCCCCTTCTGATGCAGAAGTGATGTAGGATGGCTAACAATGTTACACTGAAAGTGACTGTCGTTTGTGAGTGTCTTTATGTTCACTTGGGGCATAATTATGATGTAAATGTAAAAATGATAAGTCAGTTATTTAAAATGCTATCAAACCTACTTTGTATTTATTTACGCTATTGGAACATGCCATTAGATGAATGAAAATACAAACGTATTCAAGACATGCTGTTGTTATGCTGTAGTAGAGCTATTTTTGGTATTTACATTTTTCTAATGTAATTTACGATTTATTTTTTTTTTAACGTTGAGATTACCATCTGATCCCATTTTCCTGCCTCTTATCCTCCCTACTCCCATAATTGCAAGTTATTGTCCTGTGCAGCTTTGCATTTTTTGGTAGAAGGACCAGGATGATTTGGGTTTTACCATCATGCATCATGCTGACCTTTGCTATCTCATGAAAGGTTTTACACAGAGGTCTATGGCAGTGCTCTCAGTTGAGACCAGACCTCTCAGGTCCTCTCAGTAGAGACCCGTCTCCTGCTCTTACTAGTAAATATTATTAATATAATAAGTAAATAATATAATATAATAAGTAAATATCTTGCTCATAGGTTATTCCTGAGATGTATGGACTTGCACCGAAGCACTGAAATCAGATTATAAGCAGTTTTCTATAATAAATTCTTTCTGCATGTTGATACAGTAGATACTGTAATAGGTTGTGCTTGGGGCATGTTGATGAGAGTGTAATACACTTAGAACTGTTTTGATTGGGTCCTTCTTCCTTGTAGCTTTTACTATCTTTGTGTAATCAAATCAGGTGAATTTATTACGTTGAATAATGCAATTTTAGGATGACATTAATAGTATCATTCAGGCAACCTACTCTGTGATTTGTAGAGTATCCTCTAGTTACTAGGTGGTGTTTGCAGTGCTCTAATAGAGGCTGCTGCCTTCTTCCAGATCTCTGAGAAATCTGCTTGATGGAGAGATGGAGCATTCTGCAGTGCTAAGGCAGGAAATGGAAAACTGGAGAAGGAAAGCAGCAGAACAGGAAGAGCGACATGCCATGAAAGTCCAAGCTTTGGCACGGTAAGAAGCGCTGAAAGTGTCATAAAAAGTAACATTAGTAGAACAAGAAAATTAAAAATTCTGCATACAAGAAAAAAATCATTGTCAATTAGTTTAGTTTTCTGAAGAACACAAGTGATTTACAACTAAAAATCCAACGGACTTTAGTTGAATTTAGGCTGGAAAAAACCTTTTGGAAGGCTTTCTGACAAATGTAGTGGGTTTGTGGCTTTTGTTTTGTTAACAGTAAGTGAGAGTTTAAAATATTAGTAAAACCTCCGTTATAGCTCCAGATGAAAGAAGATCAGTGAGCTGAACTTATGACAACATCAAGTTTAATATTAAAAAGTAATTGGACTAATATTAAGAAAGATAAGCCATGAAAATAGCAGCAGTTAGATAATGAGACTAAATACAAAGGAATACATGTATGTGTAAGGTAAGAAGACTTTTTTTCTCTTCATGTATGTATTTTGTCCAGTTCTAACCCTCCTCCCTTTTTTTCTTTTTCATTTTGGGAGATTCTTGGTATAACTTGTCTGCCCAATCTGGAACAAATCACAATATCGAGGTCCTGTTTTTTTTCCTTCTATTGCATATATGATATTCTTAATGTTGTTAAAGTACCTAGCACTGTCTGCAAAGGGAGGTGAGGGTGAGGAGGGGAACAGAAACACCATGTCAGTGTTCATTGTGAACAGTCTGATGTTGCTGTCTTAGAATAATGAAATGCTCATTCTAGTAGTTGAAATGGCTGCTTTGGTGCATGTGTAAAACACAGGGATTTTTTATTTTTATTTTTCAAAAATACACAAGCTGGATTGTTGGGATTCTAGCTCTCAGACCTGGAGCCAGTGAGGACCTGTTTTGGAGACTATTTAATTTTAATATTACTCCACAGTATTTCCTCTGCTCGATGTCTTATATAGTTCAGTAGAAATTATGTTGAGTGGTCCTAGTGTCAGTTAAATTGAGTAGTTAAATTTGTGTCTTTATTGCTTTCAGTTATATAGAATATGTCAGTGTCATCTGCAACTGACACAGATATCCTTCGATATGTATCCTCATGTATGTAAGCACTAAAGAATGCATTATCCATCCTCTTCAGTGACATTTCCATCTGATCTGTCTTCCTTCTATCTGATATTTAAGCATGACTTTGTTTTCCTTGGGCTGATGTTTTTTTCTTGTCCTGTTGTCAGGTTTTCATGGCTGACCACTTTATCAACCGCTGTATCATAAGCAACAGCTGTTGATACTGTCTGGCAACAGTACCAATTTCTGAAGTGGTGCAACTGCTTCCCCCTGGCTCTAGGAAGGTCATCTGGAACAGGTTACTCAGGACCATTTCCAATCAGGTTTTGAGTATCTCCACAGACAGAGAGTCCACAACCCCTCTGGGCAATGTTGTTGGCAGTGACCCATTGGTGATACTTTCCCAATGTGGTACAAGATGCTGTTGGCTTTCTTTGCCATGAAGGGTGGCATTGCTGGCTCATGGTCAGCTTGTTATCCACCAGGACTCCCAGATCCTTCTCCTCAGAGCTGCTTTCCAGCCCCCAGCACGTATGGGTGCCTAGGGCTATTTCTCACCAGATGCAGGACTTTGCGCTTCCCCTTGTTGGACTTTCAGGGACTAATCTGAGTCCAATTCTCCAGCCTGTCCAGGTCCCTCTGAACGGCGACGTAACCATCCAGTGTGTCAGCTGCTCCCCAGTTTTGTATTGTCTGTGAACTTGCTGAGGGTGCACTCTGTCCCAGCATCCAGCTGTTAAACAGTATTGGCCCCAGCAGTGACTTGCCTCCAGCTTGACTTTGTGCCACAGCTATGCTGAAAGAAAAGAATTTTAACCCTCCCCTCATCTAAATGTGATTTAGCTTAAGAAAGACTTTTGAAGGTAAATGTTGCTGTAATAGTGTGATTTTCTTCTTACAATTCTAAGTCGGCTCTAGAGTAACCTATGATGCCTAAGATCTTGAGGATGATTCACATATATAGTAAACAACAAACCTATCCCAAATGTTAAGTAAGATTAGTAATCTGTGCCTTATCAGAGAGAAGTGTTTGTTTTCTGTGTGCGCAGGCAGGGTGCTTAGTGTCAGTCGTGAAGTACCACAGCTGAGATTCCTGTAAGCTTTTTGTTGCATAGCAGAACTAGTATCTGAAAATGATAAATACAAAGCTTTTTTTTTTTTTTTAAAGAAAAAAGTATTCAGACTGTTACTAATTCTGCTTTTGATGACACATCAAACCAAACTACTCAATTTGAGGGAGGGAGAGATATGCATAAGTGGGTTTGACATTCATGTGATGTAGGGCAATTGAGACAATGCAAATACTTGATCATTTAATATTCACGTTTCAGGTTATAGGAATTGTATGTTCATATTTCTTTGACTCACCTCCCCCACAGTTTTGGAATTTGCAGTGACATATGGGTGAATCAGATATTTGTCATGCACATACCTTTTTAAAAACTAGATAAGGAGCTTTTATAACAAGATCTAAGGGATGCTCACTTAGACTAACTTATTAGTTTTAAACAAATTTATTTAATTTTTTATTGCTATGGAGACTGGGTATGTTGCGTTGATTGTTCTTCTGAAAGTCAATTTACCTTGTCACGTGATAAAAACAGTGTTGGGAGCTGCTTAGGTACAACAAATTCTTGTGTCACCAGTTATTTTGGACTTTGGATGCACTTCTTTAATGATTCATTGCAAGTAATTTTCTAGCACATAAGAAACTTTGCATATAGTTATTTTGGAATATAGGTTTTTCTTCTAAATTCTTTTGTTGATTCACTTTGTACACTGTAGGTGATGCTGCTGTAATAGTAAGAGTAGTAAAATTTTAAAAATAATATTTTAAACCAAGAATTTGGGCAAGCTGAACAATTTGAAGAATTTGAAATGACAAAAATTTTGGAAATGCTTTGTAAGAGCTGCATAATACTAGGTGAATGAGAGGAAACTAAGTTTCAGATATTTTGTGATAGTGAAATCTCACTGTTTACCTTGAAAACAATTGATCACATGACTAGAGTAGAAAAATTTCCTCAATTGTAATATCCTGAACATCTTAAGGCCGGGAAAATCATTCAGTAACAATCTGACTATTGTCATTTGATGAACAAATATGCTTCAGATTATGAGAGCTGATATTTACATGTGTCCCGAAAGCTCTTGCGAAGAATTTGATGCAAACACCTTCCTGAAGGCCTTGAGAACACAAATTTCAGTGACACATTAGTCAGTGTTGAAATTATTACTTCTGGATATCTGCAGAATTGGTTTATTCAGCTGGTCTCCTAGGCTCTTGGAAGTGTCTCTGGTCTCCTAGACAAAGTGCTGGCTTGCTTAGAGAAATTTTCCTGATTTTCTTAACTCCTCTTTGAAAAATGGAAAAATTCTTAGGTCATTTTAGTTTCGAGTAGTGGTAATCTCATTCTTCCATGTGAAGTATTTGAATATCTCCTTCATAACAATTATGATTTTGTTTCCAAAGGAGCAGTCTCAGCATTCAACCTATTCCCTAGCCTTCCGACAGAATAGACTAAATAGACTCTGTAGTGTAAGCTGGTTTTTAGTTGTGGTGTTTTCTTTTTTTCCCCCTCATCAATGAGCCTTTCTTAGATTGCATGGGCATACTGTGCCAGGGGCTTCTTAGCAATGCTAAAGTTTTTAAACTGAGATTCTTGTTTCTCTGTGGAATACTATTACAACCCTTTGCGAGGCAAATAAATTTATTGAAGTTGACTGTGAAATTGGATAATCTCAGATTGCATATTCTTAGACTATATTCAGAAATGTGGGAGGAAAGCCTTTTACAAAGGACAGGCTTTGTAGCAAGAAAAGCAGATAGAAAGAGAAGATGATAATGTACTGCGTAGGGAAATGGGGGATGAGAATTTTAGTGTACTTTATCTTACATTTTTATGTACCTTCTGTTTACTGTACACTCTGTAACCTAACCTGCCTACACTTATCTAGTGTCTGTATTATTTAAGACACATTGCTTTTGGATTTGGCATTTTATATTAATCTGTTCTACAACACTTCATTCAGAGCTGTAGTGCTTCAGTGATGGGGGAAATGATGTGTTGTGCATCTTGAAATGATTGCGTCACCTACCTTAAGGATCTTTTTAGGGAGAGGAAAAAATACCACTTGTCCCTGCTTGTGAAAACGGATTTGAATATTCCTATGTTCAGTGATTGTTTTTTTCCTGCTTAGTTACTTGGTGACATGTCACAAGTTACAAAAACATTTAATAAAAGTGTGAGATACATTATTTCATAAAATAAACAACTTCCTCATATTTCTTATCCATAAAACAATTTTTTGCTTTTTCAGATGTGGTATCGGTGCTAAAAGAGCCCTTTCATAATTCATATTTGAACGCAGTCTATGCTGTGAAGCTATCATGAGAATAGTTTCCAGTTTATCATGCATATGGTGTTTGTCTTTCATGACAAGCAGTTAAGTTTATCACATTTTTCCTTGTTACAGTTTTTTTCAGAGATTGGTTTATACTATAATCTCATTACATTGTATATAGTTCAACTTCCACTTCTAGGAGTAATAGTTCTTATTTTCCTTATTTCATTTAGAGTACATATGATTACAAATAATTGTGATCTTGCACCTCCTAATAGTAGGATGACAGGATAATTCAGGTTGGAAGGCATCTCTGGAAGCCCAGCTTCTGCATATAGATTCTACATATGCCTGCAGTACACTGTTCAAATCATTCTCAAGATTCATACCATTTTTTTATTATTTGGAGATTTGGTAACTTTACAGTGTTTTCTAAAACACTTAAGTTTTTATCAAGACAATCTGTTGGAATTTTTTTTGTGCGTAGTGGTGGTTTGGGGTTTTTTTTTTGTTTGTTCAGTCATAGGGAAATAAGTTCTATTGGCCTCTTCCTCTGCAACAAAAATCATAACTTAAAGGTATATTGTTCTTTAATAAAATTTTTGGAAGTCAGCTTTTATAGAACACTTATTTACTGGTATTCCTTTGCATTAACAACCAGAAATCTTATTTTGACAAACATAAGATGCATGTAATTTGACTTGCATAGTAGACTTTAACTGTATTTGGTGTATGTATACATGCTTCAATAAGCATAACTATCTATCACAGAAACTTTGTGGACATTGCTGGAAGATAACCAACCTCCAACTCCCCTTGCTCCTCCATAATGAAAGGCATGCTACAGCACAAGGAAGGGCGGGAGATTTTGCCTGTGGGGCTTTGGGCCTTCTCCAAGAATACAGCAGAAATCCCAGCAGGGGGTCTGATCCTCTGCTGCGTTCCATGTGAATAGCATCTCTCTTCCATGCTGTCCTCCCTCTGATGTGAGAACATGCTGCTTGTTATTCTGTTACATTTGTCCTCTTGATATGAGAGTCCTTAGGGAACAGTTACTACTGTTCCTGGCGTGAACTTTAACTTGTTGGTGAGGATATACGTTTATCATTAATACTGCATGCTAATCTTTTCATTCATTACATGCATAAAAGCTATATGTTTCCCAAAATGTGAACTCTTTTTATGCTGCTAAAAAAAAATTATCATTCTTAGAGTAGTTTTGATTTTTCTTTTAGGCAGGGTTTCCCTAAATGCTAATTTTTAAATAATAAAATTGAGAAGAAGTTTAATTATTTTCCCTTTAAAATTAGGCAGGGAATTGAAGGTATTTGACAACTTCAATTATTATATAATTGATTGTTCCTTGTCATTCCAGATAGTTTTCCCAAAAAGATAATAAATAAGCAAGTTTGTTGTTGCTATGAATATTAACGAATATTTAAAGAAAATTTCTTTTCAGTAAAAACAATATTTTGTTTCTGTATTAGTATGATCGATGTCACTAAATATTGCCATTGAAAAGTAAATCCTTTACTATAAATGTTTTATTTCATAGCTTTGGCGAAAAGAATACCTTACACTAGTAATGCCAGTCAAGTATCGATATATAAACAAGCCATGACCATATCCATACTCTTAAAAGAAATGTATTAAATGTTCTTCATTTTCCTGACTTTGGTTTTAGTACAGGATTTTAGTAGGATCTTAAGATTTTTCTATAATTTGTGAATACATACAGTGGTTTCTGATGAATTTTTAAGTATGTGTGACAATAGAAATACTTACAGTTTTAGGGATTTTATGAAGTGGTATCTTCCATTTTAGAAAATTGATAAAAGTTACTCATATCACTGCTGAAGGTTTCGATACTTCCATCCTCTCCTCTTTGCTTACAGTTGTAATTATATACTGATTCATTACCATAATTAGTATTGTATTTTTCCTCTGGTTTTAAACAAAGGCTATTAATGGCTGAGAGTGGATATGTATAATTTTGTAATATTCTGATTTATCTTCAGGAAAAGTACTAAAGCAAAAAGCTAACTACGGAGTTTAATTGCATCTTAAGTAATTTCATTGGATAAAAATGCTATAGAATAAAATATACTCTGCTAAAGAAGTTGATTCTCTGCATTAGCTTATTAATAAAGTGTTTATTGGAACCTGGAAGTAGCTTTACCTGGTTTTCTGTGGAGAATGGTCACAGAACTGTGGAGAAACTCCTACAGTTGCTTGAAAAAAACCTTCAGATGTAAGGAAATTTATCCTGCACTTACATATGTATAGCATTTATAAGTTGCTGTATTTAAATGTGTTTGTATTTCTGTAATAGTGCTTTTAGAGAGATTTTGGAGATAAATCTGCTCTGTCAGAAACTAACTTCATATTTGTCTTAAGAAGAAAAAAAGTGGGAAGATGCATATGTTTTTTTTCTTTGTCTTGAAGACATAAAGCTTCAGAGAAGTTCTGCTAATCTGCTACTGAAATAATAATAAATCATAAAGAAGCCTGGGGAAGAGTTAAATTCTGGTTTCGTAGGATGCTTTAAGTCCATTTTTTTGTGATTGAATTTCAAGTCCTAGCACTTTTTTTTAATGTAGCTATTAATATGCATTTTCTAGTTTTATAATCAAACCACCACAGAATAGTATGTCTTGTATCATTGTTCTGCATGAGCAGTCACCAGTGGTATAAAGCTAAATCAATACCACACACTAGACCTGTGCCATTTGAGCAAAAAGAGTAATTTGTAGGAATACTAGATTGTCATCTCCTATCATTGAGCTGCCACAGGGTAAAATGAGATACCACTTTGTCTTTCATCTACTTACTAACATGGGAGAAGTGATCAGGCAGGGAAATTTGTCGTAATTGAGGTTTTCGAGATGGGTGTGCTTTAGTGGCTTAGTTCTCTGTCTTTGTTTTCTCATGTATTTCAGCCTGATTTTTTTTTCTTTCTTTTTTTTTTCTCTATCCCTGTCAACTGGTACTTACAGTCTTGTCACTTATGCTTCAGCACAGAATGTGGAATTGTTTGGAGCGCTTCAAAAGATGCTGAAAGCATTGTGTTTATCACTGGTCTCATAACAGTTTTGGTTCACATTAGATGGTAAGGTTTGGAAAAGTTGCAAAAGTAAAGCTGGGGCGTTCACATGGAAGTATTTAACATCCTTAACAATAGGTAGTACCGGTGGCTCACCTGGACAAGAATTTCTGCAAATCTGACCCTTAACTCCTATACAGAAGTTTCTCCTCCTATAAAATACTTGCTATGAATATCTGATACAATGCCTCTTGAAGTCATTAAAGATTTTGTATTGAGTTCTTGCTTTGATAAAAAGAGCTCTATAAATTCATATATATCATGATGGGACCTCTTTGGAATCTAGCTCTGTAGTAGCAATGAGAAAGGTATGTTGAAGAATCAGAAGTAATGAGATGATAAAGAAGCATATTAGGAAATTGTGACTGGGCCATAGTATCCTGCTTTGAATTTCAGCCTTGTATCAAGAACCTTAAGTAAATTAAAATCTTTCTGAACTTAATCTGTACTGTATCAATTTTAAGTCAATAGGCACAATAGTAAAAAAAATAGATTTATTTTTTTTTTTTTTTTTTTTTTTTTTTTCCCTGATGCTGTCTCGGTACAGACAGAAGGCACTGAGTCTATTCTCAAATGTAGAAATGAGATGGTGTATGATTATTTCATGAGAATCCTTAAAACTCAATATATTGTAATTGTATACAGTTATTTCCATGGCAGACGTATTTACATTTCTGGTGAGAAATATTTTTGTCTATCTGTCATATAATTATTTTATGAATTAATTATTTTGACTTTTTTATTATAGTATATAGAAGTAAACTGTCTGATTTTTTTTTTTTTTTTTTTTTTTTTTTTCTCCTTAATCTGAATATCAGTATCCATTTCTGGTAGAAAACCTGACTTGTTCTTTATAGCCTAGGAAGTGAATCATATCATAAAATGCATAAAATCATCAAGCACTTTGTTAAAAATTGATAGTTGGGTAATGAATAGTTTCTTCTCAATTATTTAGCAACCTCCTACTGAAGGACTGAATAAAATTAAGGTTATATAGCTCAGAAAACTGATCTGAAATTCATAGAAATATGAATATAATACCAGTCTAAGGTTTTTATATATAAATATGGCATTGCTCACAACAGCAATTTATTTTTGTGTGTGTGTGTGTTTATATATTATATATATACACACACTTTGTGTGTATGTATATTTATATATAACGATATAATGATAAGGCCCATCAAACCTATTTGCATGTGTTTCTGAATACTTCTCATTCTTAAATAAATTCCTACCTTTTTGTGTATAATCTATTTACAGGTTTCTGTACTCTGTTACATATCTAGCTCATTCCTGGAGGGTGTACCGCTCCTCTGGCATGATTTTGACCTGCCAATGTTTCCTCTCTAACCAGTGTGGGTTTCTTGTGTGTGATGTTATATGCTGCATTTGTGGCACCTGTATATTTCTACCCTGATACATTCTTAAAAAAGAGTAAAAGTTGCCTGAATTCCCTCTCTTGCAATGCATTTTAGTTATGTTTCTTCTGCATAAACACTTCTGTCATACTTGGTTAACTGAATGGGCTTAGACAGATAATTGAGTTTTTGTGCAATTTGTCTGCTTTGTTTAAAATTAAGTTGGTTAGAATCCTTTTTATTTCTCCCCAAATATAAACTAAGGTGCTTAATGGTGTTAGGTTGAACTATAGTAGTACCTGATTTGAATACTTGTGCTTTCCAAAGAAAAATGGGACAGGCACAGGCACTGAAATACAGCAGTCAAAGGGATTAACTTAACTTCTTTTACAGTTTTCATTTAGGAATGTTATATGGAAAATTTTTACCTTGAATATTGTTGCTGAAGTGCTGGCATTTGCTTACAATGATAAAGTCGGGTTTTAAATTCTTATTTGCTTGACTTCAAATACTTGGACAACTAGTAAAATGATTACCTAATTTTACACTGGCCATTCTGAATTTCCTTGTCTAGTATGCCATCCTTATTTTTTGAATCAACTGTTGATTTAGATAGAATGTATCATTTTTCTGCCATCAATGTAGCATAGTATAGAAAAACCTAAGTTAAGCAATTAATGAAAAGTTTCTGATCATGATATAATCTGTTTCACTGATATGTGGCCCTGGAAAACTAGTTTTCCTGGTACTCTGCTGTTGATGTATTATTTAATGTGCAAGTAATTTTTTTTTCATCCTGATGACACAATTTAGATAAAGCTTATTATGACAGATAGTATGTTTCCATTGAAATGGACTTTCCCCTACTTTGAGAAAACAATATTATTTATTTATTTTGTTCTTTTTATCATCAGAGAAAATGAGGTGCTAAAAGTGCAACTTAAGAAGTATGTTGGAGCTGTCCAGATGCTCAGAAGAGAAGGTCAAACAGTGGAAGGTAAGGACAAAATGAAGGGGGGAAAAAAAATCCATGAGCAGGGTTTGTTTTTCTGTATGCTACTATTGAGACAGAGTTTACTAGAGGCATAAGTACAGTAACCGAATTGATGGAAATGACTCCTGGACTTGTATGAAAACAGACAAGGAAAGAATAACTGGTGAACAGCCATGTCTCTGGTTTACAAGAATCGGCATTTTTATTTTTCTGATTGATCCTGGAATGGATTTCTGTAGATAACCAACCACTCAATCCCATGCAAGTCCTGCTCCATTACCGACACTTCAGCCACACTAAACAACCCTAGTATGGCTGGGGACATGGTTCACATTTCCACATGCTACCCAGTGTGACATCAGCCCTCCCCCCTGTTGGAAGATAGCAGCATCTGAAAAGATGACAGTTCTGTTTCTATGAGAACTGTCCCTGATGCATCTCTGACTGGGCTATTTGCTGTTGTGTGAACTGTTTTGTAATGCAGATTGATATCAAACAAAAGGAATGTCATGAGATGGCATACTATCAAATTACTGCTGAGTAGAAACAATCAAGAAGTCTTTGCTTTCCTTGCTGAGTCTTCAACAAAACAAATGAAATAATTTACATGAAAGTGGGGTTAGCAAGAGATAATTATAAACCCTATTCATCTCTTCCAACCATGGTAGAGTAATATCTCCCAATAGTGAAAATAACATATTTGAAATCTTTTCCTTTTGAGAAAAATACCGATGTAGATTTTTGTACTTATTTATACAGAGTGTTTTCTGGTAGATGAAGTGGTCTTACTTTTTTTCAATAAGAAACTTTCTAGAAAAAAACTTACCAGATGAAAATTTAATTTAAAAAATAATTGTGAATTAATGTGATATTGGAACATAAGAATAATTATTTTGAGGAAATAAAATTTGGTATCTCTAGATTATACTGTTAGTGTTGTTTTGGAGATCAGTATATGCAGACTGTTTGAAATAGACTCTGTACTAAGACCAGACATTTCACTTACTTTGCTACACTGCTCTGACTCTAATGAACAGGTTTTATATCTGAAAGATAATGAGTTATCAGCAGTGTTACCTGCTTTTCTTCAGTGGTGGTAAAGTGTCCATGACAGGATGAATTGGAGTCTTGATTCTGAATCATCATCTGGTGGGACCTGTATTTCCACTGACTACAGGAGGTGTTTTGAGAGGCGAGGTGGCTTTGCAGAAATTGACACCATCTGTCTTCTTTTTTTTTTTTTTTTTTTTTAATTTTTGTCAATATTGTGGTCATATAAGTGCCTGTATGAATGAATACTACATTAATTCTGCTCTTAAGGGCTAGTCACTATACTTATCTGTAGTTTAAAAACTTCATTCATCCTGAAAAGGTTTTTTGTTAGTGAGAACACATGTTTTTACTTCCGACTTCGCTGGAGTGTAGTGATTCATATTAAGAATTATTCATGAAAACCATCACTTAAGCTTCTTATAATAGCAAAAATTATCCTTCATTAGATACTGACAGTTTCCATGATGAGTGTAATTATAGGAAAAGAAAAAAAAATATTCCTATGCTAGCTGTATTCTGCCATTTTAAAATTATGCAAATTAGTGAGTGATAAGAATAGAAACTGAGTAGGATGGTCAGATTTTGTAGATGAAAAAGGGGGATGGAACAGTACCAACATTTCTAAAAATGAATACATGTATGCTTTATGCTTAAAGCGTATTTAATCAATCCACAGTAATTTTCTGTAATATTTATCATTACTGAGCAGAATGAATTTCAGCTACATGCAATATTTGTAATAATTTTTCTTACATTCTAACTTCACACATTGCATTTTTATAAAAACAATTACTGAGGTTTTTTTCTTAGATGCCATTAGAGATCTATGTGAAATTTTTAGTACTTGGACATCTGACTCAAAAAAGTACTTAAGCATGTAAATAATCCCTGACAACTAATACGTTTAGATACACTTCAGAAAAGGAGAGTGAAACAAACCCAAGTTTTTTCTTTTACCAGATTTATAGAAATTATTGCAGCCATGATTTATATACATAAGTTGCAGTATCTCATCATAGACATTCATACTTTTCAGATGTGAGCCTTCATAAATAAGAATATTTTCATTAGAAAGAGCTATTAGTACTTTTCAGTACATATAACATTGCATAACTTAAGGCAAATTACTGAATTCCAGCTGTGGTATAACAGTGAGTGTAACAACGTGTCTTAAGTAATTTTGTTCTTAATTAGCTTACATGCTTAAAAGGATTACAAAGTATATTTACAAGACCTGTTTTATTACTGTGTTCTGAGATTGTGACAGTTTTGGGAAGGAAATAGGATAGAGAAACTTCTGTTTTCTCTGCTTTTGTAATTTTCGGTTAAAATTCTTGTTGGTTTCTTATATATTCATTTACACATTCATAGGTTAAGGTTCTTGACTTCTAATTAGCCTTACGTATACATAGGGACATAGAGTTCTGATCTTTTTAAACTTGGAAAATTCCCAGGTCTCCTCTTTTGCTGTAATGTTGGGGAATTGTCTTCATCAGGGGGGCATAAACTGTTGGATAAAACTAATTTCACTGCTGCCCTATGTTCTCATAATGAATAATTTCAATGATGATTAATCTTCTTCCAAATGGTATGAAAACAAAAGTCTTAAATGTATTGTAGATTTTAGAACACTATGTGTTTAGACTTTCTGGGAAACTATTTTGAAAGAGTCAAAATAAATTGAGCTTCTGCTGTTATTTTTATGACTATAAATAGAGATGAATCTATATGTTTGCTACAATAATCGGATCAGATGCTATTGAGTATGGCTTTGAAATGGTTTCCTAAAATAATAAATGAAGCTCAGCATAATACTTTGCCTTGTGGTGACTTAAAAACCAAAAAAACACTTGGCAAATGTGTTTATAAATGAATTGCCAGAATATCATACCAGCTTTCAAAATTAGTGATCACTGCCGTAGACTGAGCAGTCTGATATTGGTATTTAAATATTTAATAAATGAGCATCCTGATTTCTCAGCCATCAGCAGGAGCTGGATATGTACCATTTTTCAAACCTGCTTAGATAGAATAATATTATGTATATGAACATGCTGGTCTTAGAAGTTTCTGGCTGAAGAACTTCAAGTGAGATTTACAAGAAATAGCTCTTAAAATAGCTTTGAAAATTCACTTAAAATAATAATAAACTTCTGAATGTATATATTCTTCCTTGAAGCAAAAATTAGATCCCAGGCTCAAGGGTATTTAGTCAGATGAATTATGGTGCGTCTCTCTACCTTATAGTGGTTGTATATATAGTTTAAGTTTTGAAAAATTGTGAAAGCATTTGTTAAACCTCTCTTTTATTAGGGCCTGTTTACTTTATATGTGCTAACTTGATTTTTTTAGACATTCATGATCTGTGAGGAAAAGTTGAATTGGACTTTGTATAACTTGGAGAAGAGGAGGCTTACTTAGACTAGGCCTTAAAGTGATCATCAAACACATAAATGATAGCTAGGAACAGGAATAGAATAAACTGTAGTATTCATTCACTGGATAAAAAAAGAAGTAATGGGTTTAAATGGCAGATGAAGGAAGTTTGATTAGCTATCAAGAAAACCTTTCTGAGAAGAATACTTAAATTTAAATAGATTGTGCAGGGAAGCATGGAATCTCTATTATTGGAGGTTTCTAGCAATAAATTAGACAACTGTCAGGAATGAAGTAACTACAGCTGATGGTGCTTTATGCAGAACTATGAAAAACTAGATGAGGTATGGAATGTCCATTCTCAGCCCTATTTTCTGTAATTTCTATGGTATGTAAGTAGTCTGTGCAAGTAATATGAAATAATATTTGGAAGAGAAGTAGAAAAAAGACTTAAAAGCATAGGCTTAGTTTTCAAAGGCATTAGATAGGAATTGCAGTTACTACTTACATGTATTAGGTAGCTGCAGTCACAGAACAGCCAAATGCCTTTAGTTTTCATTTTTTTCTGTTGAGAGTACCTGTCTAAATATTGCTCACAAGAAAGCTCCCTGCAGCATTTCTATTTTAGTTCTTCTAATACTGTTTAATATTACATCCTATTTTGATACTTTAAATAACTGTTTCTTTTAGAGCTATTACTTTGAAACAGGTTGTCTTAGACATTTATGTAATTTAACATTTTAATTTGCAGTATCTCTTTGTTTTAGTTCTGCCAAACATTTGGAGCATTGATGGTGAATTTACTATTCCAGAACAAAAGCAAGTAGAAAACAATGAGGAACTAGCCAGCTCTTACGAAAGAAAATTGATTGAGGTAAAGTTTGTACTGCAGAAATTTTATGGAATCATAATTGTAACGTAACATTTGAAGCCGTAAATAGTTTCTTTGCTTAGTTGTTATTTTTTCCCCCATTACTGTAAAAGAAAAGTCTGATTTTTGCTTTAAAAAGAACAAATGAAAGATTTCATTTTCAGGCTTCTGTGGTTAAAATACAAATTTGTTCATTCAACTTCAAAACATATTTAAACTAATTCAGATAATTACAGATACTTCTCCTAACAAGGGTACACTTTATACTTTGGTATTAAAATGAAGGTTTTAATAAATAAAGAAGTTCATTAATGTTATAACTGATGGTGGTGAAGTTGAAAGCACAAACAATAGGTTTCAGGTATTGTATGAATTACAGTACATAATTACAGTCATTGCTCTTTTAAAGCTCAGTTGAGCTTTAAAATGAGGACATACTGAAATCTGTAGCTTTTTCTGTGCTTTTGTACTGTTTTCTGATTGCCAAACTATGTTTCATTTTTGTATTGCTTTACCATGTAGCTTATTGAATACTGCAGTATGGAAACAGATGATGGAAGCTACGAGTTCTATTGATGTGACCATGTTAGAAAAAGTTCTTTATGCAAGATTCACTTTTAAAACTAATGTAAAATTCATTAAAGAAAAAAAAAGAAAGATTAGGGTTTCATCCTAAATTTAAATACAAATGATTTTCCAGACAAAAGTAATGAAATTTAATATCTAATACCCATATCTCCTACTAAATATTAAATGAACATTTTTATAAAAAGTAAAACAATTCTCTATGTCTTTCTCTTGCCCAAAATACTCTGAAATTGGATACTCGTATTAACTGATTAACATGAAGATGAATAAAAATGCGAGTCGTGCATCAAAGAGATTAATACAGTTCTTCTAAAACATTCATACTTGGTTATCCTTTTCTCATAGGACCATGTGAAACTAGTTCTCTCCCTAATGCATACCTTTGGTTGGGTTCTTCTGAGTCCTTTCCTCTGTTCTGTACCTATCAAAAGAATATCTTAATTAAGAACACAGGTAAAATCTCTTTCAGCTTTAAAAGTATTCTCCTTAGTTCTACTAAGTTTGTTCTGCATGTTCAGGAATTTGTTGCTAACACTTCTGAGTTTGTGTTAGCAGTAGCACTGATGACACAGCAGTGGATGTAACCACTGGAAATCCTTGTTGCTAATCACATCCAGAAGAGAAAGTCTGCATCTGAGTCTCATTTACTAGTCTGTAACAATATCTTCGCTCAAAATAGAATGTAACCCTTGTAACAATCCAGATGTATTTACCTAAAGTCATTATTCCTTCTTCTCTCCACAAATGAAAGATGTGAAGTCTTATTTTCAAAGGTTAGCCTGCACTGTGTTCCAAATTGAGGACTAGGATAGGAACTGCTCTTGAATGTTGTTCTGGCAGTTCCACTCAGCTAGAATTGGGTCTGAAAAATGTTCAGACTTAAGCAGTTTTAGTTACTGTTATTTTGTGCCTAGTAGACTATTGCAAATGAAGAAAAAGATTCCCTTGAATTTCTTAGTAGCTGATCAGGACACTGAAGTTTCCCCACAGAGAAATGACTGACTGTCAAAAGAATAAAAATAATGGTTCTGCTGACTAACTAGAGATTTTTTTTTTTCTCTTTTTCCATTGGAAATTATTTTGTTCCTAATAATATAGTTTCTTAACATTTTTTAAAAGTTTGCATTTATTGAAGTTCTTTAATCATGATCTGTAAATAGGTTGATTTAACCAAGTGGATAAAGAAAAGTTACAACTAAAGATTTTGAAGGAATAAAGAAACTTAAGGAAACTTTTACTGAACATTATGGTTAAAACAGTGTTAGAGAAATTTTTGTAAAAACTCAGAATAATTTTTTAATGGTGTATTTTCTTAGAAATAGTAGTGAACCATCAATCTAGTTACCACAATTACGTCTATACCCCCAATTCGAAGCTTGTTGGGATATTGATAATCTTTGGATACCTCTAGCAATCCCCATGTGTTTTCCAATGTCATACGCTTTGGGACTAGAATGCTATTTTGATTTAGAAGAGAAAGTAAGTCGATTTATACAGCTCTCAAGCCATGAAAAATGAAGTGTGCTTAAAATCACTGTAAGAAGTTTAGGGCCGTTGCTATGCATCGTTAGCATAAGTTTGCCGTACGTAAGGTAAAGTATGTTTCATTTACTTTGTCCTCCTTATGTAAGGTTTGTCAGAGTAATATCACTAGAAGTTTTCTCGTGTTACATGCCGAGCGAGGGAGAAACGCTTCATGTTTTACATTGCAACTAAGCTCAAAATAAACAATTACTGAAGACTTGCTGACATGTCAGACCTGATATTACTAAGGATTTAAAATGAAGCAAAACAAATGAAAAAAACTAAAACAATTGGGTTGTCTACACATGTTTATAAGACCTGTGGTCAGATTGTTATCTGTAAGACATTGTTTCCAGTTGGTCTGTTCTTTCTTTGTGGCTGTAGACCAGTAATGAATTAATAAACATATCTAACTAGAGATAACATGACTTCAACTTTCTTTGCAGTTTCAGCCTTTGATGATTTTGTACTCTAAGTGTAATTTTATTGGTGGACTTTAACCTGCATTTCATCAAAGTTAAATTGTAGGTTATGCTGATGATGAACTAAATTACATTATGAGAGCACTCTGTTAAAGACACAATAAATTACATTGAATTTTTGGTTTCCTGGCATAGACTATTCCTGTGGGACTAGGGAATGAGGGGGCTAGCTCCTCTGCTGGAATAACAGACTTTTGATGTACTGAGACTTGTATCACAGTATATGAATCCCTTATTGTTCTGCAGAAACACTTATTCTACAGGAATGTGGAGACGAACCAAACAGTTAAAAATCCTTTCCAACTCTCTAAGGCTTTCCTTGTAAAAGCCTGTGCAAGAAACATTTCTAGGAGTTAGAATTTTTCTACACAAATTAACTAGGAATTGCTCAGTTTTTAAAGTAAAGTTCCATAGAAACCCACAGTTGCCTTTCAATGAAGTTGAAAATACTCTTGTACCTTTTTCTGAAGCTCATAGACTTAACTTTTTATATGTTAAATATACTGTTGTATTTGTATGCCTGACAAATTGATCTCTGAACATTTGGTATGTGAGGCTGGGAACCTCTTTTTCTGACATGGAAGGTGCATATGCTGATCACGTGAACTCAAGATGTGAATCACTTTAAGTACACTTGGTAGATTAGAGTTGAGAGTTATTTCTGAATATTAGATATGCGTGAGATCTGACATCTGTCAAAAAGGTTAAGTTTCATGTTTTTTAAATTCCTGACAAATTATGCAGCTTTTCTGAAAGGTTGAATTGTTTCAAACATTTGAAACAGTATCTATGAAAGGTAATTTTGGTTATTAAGCCAAGCTTTCACCATTCTGAAGAGTTTCACTTCATAAATTTTCATGCCTTCTGTTCTTTCCTGTTGAACAAGTAATTCTTTGGCCAGTTGCATCCTGAGGCCTCAAAAGCATGCTCCGGATTATTTTTACTCAAACTGCATTCTAGATTTTTAACTTTAGTTGCCACAATTTCATTTCAAAGTGTTCAAATGACTTTAAGGTATACTGAGAGGTTTTTTTGAGCCAGCAATTACACAAAAAGAACAATAATGGCATGTATCACTGTAGTTGGGTAGGTGGCTTTTTTAAACTGTTCTAAACATTTGACCTGTCAATGATTTTTATTTTTTTAATGGAGTAAGGAAATACCATGTGAAGAGGAAGTATCATCTGAAAAACAGCTGTGTGACTTTTTCATGGTTCTTTGTGCTGCTGACATTGTTAGTAAATGGAAGTTCAAAAGACAGCCTTTCAGTCTTAAAAAATCTGGAGATATATTGTAAGTCAATTTTGCTCAGATTTATTTTTTACTAAGAATTTTTCAGTAGTATGCTATCAGATAATTAAAGAAAGTTTCTAAGTATTGGAGGATTTTCAGTGTGAGAATATGGCTTTGTTCATGGTGCAATACATGAGTCTTGTTTGGGTTTTTTTGTTACAAAATCCCTTCTCACATAGTAAGCTATCTGGTCAGGGAAGGTACCTTAAGTCACTAAAACTTTTGCCAAAAAGTCTCAGCATCTTTGTAGAATTGTCTCTCAGTTTAGCATAACATGTACCAATATACTGTAATGAATTTCTTTACTATGTCCTGAATTGAGTTCCTGAAGTGGGGAATTTTGATGATCTAGCAATTTTGGTAATGTCTGCTTGAAGTGCCACTTATTCTTTAACGTGAGATGATTATGTGGAAAGGCTGTGACAGCCACAGAGCAACTTAGTTACCTGCTTAAAAAAACCCAACTCTGACTATGAAGAATTGTTTGACTGCTTGTCAGTTCTTTTCTCATGCTTTTCTCCTAAAAATAGTTTTGATTTATTCTTTTATTACTTTTGATCCCTAAGTGATCCTACAAACTATTGGTAAACCCAGAACCTTTTGCTGTATTAAGAGTATGTTAATGACATTCTAAGACAAGAATAGAAAGAAACCTTTCTTTAAGAAATAAACTCTGAAATATTTAATAACTTAGTTGATAAATTCTCTGCATACCATTTCTTTGAACTACATGACCCATTTTATTGGAAATGAAAGAAGATAAGTTTTGTGTTCTTTGACAGGATTCTGTAAAGATATGGATTTTTTTTTTTTTCTCCTACCTATTAAAATGCCTACAAATAAAATTATTAAATGATAGCACTTGTTTGCTTGGATTTAACATTTTCTCATAGGAGAGAACTGCAAAATAGTCCTTTGTGAAACAAACAAAAAATCTTTGGCTTTTGTTAGCATTGAACAAACAGAGCAAGTTTGATCTCTTTTTTTATATCTCTTCAGTCGGTCATATTATTTACTAACAGCTTCTTTATTAGCGTACTTGCATTCAGCGTGAGCTTTCATTCAGCAGACAAACAAGATCACTGTATCAGTGGACAGTGATACTTTTGGAAATTG